CTAGGCTCGGCTTTTTGAGTGAAATGAAAATAAATTAGTGTTTAAATAAAACTCTTTGTAGTGATTTCCCCTCCCTCCGATGGTGCTGCTTGCCGCGCTAGGGAAAAACGCCGTAAGAGCATTCGAGAGTTGCCAAATTTCCCTCGATTAACATGTATCTTTGATGTTAAAATATACATTTTGTTCCTTGAAATTTTTAGATATTCCAGGCAGAATTGCCAACAAGATTATCTGAAAAATTTGAAGGAAAATATTATCAATTTGTTACAGTAAATCTATTCTTTATTGAAAGATATACGGCAACGTCTTAAGGCTCATACGGTGTTCCTCCTTAGCACGTGGCTTTGTGCCGCGGCTTTGACGACAACGTTGCAGTCTTCGGATGCTCAAAAATAACAAAAGCACCGCCGCGGATCGCGTCAGAGTCGAGAGGAAGAAAAATATAAAACGAAAGCGGAGGGAGGAGGGGAGGTTTCATAAAGCTTTTGTTTATCGTTGATTGATCCTTTTTTGTGTGTCTTTGATGTCTCGCGGAGGAGCACACCGAAACACGCGAGATCAGACGCTCACGGCTCACACTCTCAGACAGGTACGTATTTATTAAAAAGATGAAAAGGAAGAGAGGAAAAAATCCGAGATATTCCCCGGATTCCACCGACGTGTATCATCGGCGAAAGTTTCTTTTTTTTTTAGGTCGGATCAAACAGTTCGGATGAAAACAAGCCAATCGGAGCGATTATCGAGCATGAAAACTTTCAGAGGAACCTCGAGTGCGCTCTTGAGACAGGATCAAGAGGCTTCGATCCGCGCCCAGGCGCCTCTTTAACCACTGAAAGGGTTCTTCTCACACATTCACGCCTCAGATGATAGGGAGAATGGATCATATTCGATAGTGGTTCGATAAATCGTTTGGTTCAAAACAATAGAACATAACATCAAACCAAAGTAGGATATTTGTCAGAAAAGCTGAAAATGAGAAATTTCGTTGCAATTTCACTACTCAAATACTCATACGAATCAAAAATTTGTCCGAAAAAACCCGTTCTGTCACGTAACTCAATTGACTTTTGAGGCTACGTATATGTTTTGAACCAATCGATATCGATACAATCTCGCACCCGTTTGATGTACCGAATACGATCTATTCCATACATCGGCGGCTGACGAACAATACCACCTAACTAACAATTTTGGCAAATTCTACAGTATAAAATACGCAAGCTGATCATTTTAGCTTTTTTCTAATTCTGTGGGCGAGCGCTTTAATGAGGCTGTAATGTATGAAAATAATGCAAATCTGATCGAAAAATTACAAAAATGACGAAGTCTTCTCTTCGTTCTGCAAAAACGTCAGTTGGCAGATAGGCGGTATCGTCCTTAGCCACTATCTAATATAGAATGGTGGGTGTCAATTTTCGTAATCAATTTTCGATTAGTTTCAATGACCAGAGTGCGCACCGTGGTGTACGCGCAATGTGTGAAGTATTCTGGCACTCTCGGAAGCGCCAAGAAGCGTTCAGCACCGACGGCCGTTCTGTGCAATGTGTGAAGTATTCCTCCAGACTTGAAGGCGCTAATAAAGCGTCTCGCACCGGCCGCGCCGCACCGTAGCTCTTTGGCACCATCGTTCAAAGTTGGCATTTTTCTACATCTCCGTTATTTTGAAGTTTGTTTAAACGTAGTAAATTACACCAAGTGTGTAAACTGCGCTTGCGCTGGAATGTTGTGCAAACGGAACGAAGCGTGAGTACATACATCCGGACCATTCAAACATTCTCTCATGGGTTCCTGTCAGTCAAGACTATTGCCCACCTCCTTTTTTCATGGCAACCACCCGCCTCCACCAATAGACTGGCTCCATTTTCCCTTCGTCGAACGCTCTTGTAATCGATTTGGTCGCGAAAACGTCATTAACGGCAATCAATCGAAATCAAAATTGCCTGATAATTCTCTATTGTTGCTGTCCCGTGGAAAAACAAAGAAAAAAATAAAAAATAAATAAAAATGTATCCGAATGCATGATTAACTTTCGTACCTTGTCTTGAGGTCCATTAGCGTCTAGTTTCATTTCATTCCGTATATCGACGGTGAAACTACCAAACCACGTATCTCGTTTGCGGTGTTTAAAAATCTACGCTCACATTTTATTTTTTTGAAGTAGACCAAATCAATATCATTCCTTGAAATTTTCACGGAATTTTCTCCGCACAAAGAGGAAAAATCACAGAAATGTTCAAGACTGGATGTTAAGTAGTTTTTCATTTAAAAAATAAAGTATGGCAGGAAGTCTGCGACGTCGCAAACCGAGATACGTGGTTTAGTAGTTTCACCGTCGATATTTAGTTACCTGAACATGACAGATTAGAATTTTGAATTATTTTGTTACAGATTAATGTTTTTCCATTTACGAACTTCAAATTACCATTACTTTTGTTCGATTTAACATTTTTGGGCGCCTTCCATCTCGAAACGGACGGATTTTACCAGAATCGGCCTAACTTCACGAGACGCGTGCCTCCTCCACTTTGATGTTTTATTTTTTAAATTATCACTTATAAATTAACTTTCAAAAATTCTCTAGTAAAAATAGAGGGAAAATTATCGCTAGAATAGAATACGCACTTAAATTCCTTAGCGTTTTAGAACTCTGTTTCAATACCCGATGGAGAACGTGACATTATCAAGAGCTTAAAACGCCTTCATTCTGTGCGTAGTCAACTTTTTATGCTCCTCAGTGCTCTTATATCCTCCAGCCAGGTAATTAGATCCATGAATATGATAATGAATCAATACAATTTCAGAGTTGCTGCTTAAATTAATGCTAATAACAAACTGGGCTAAAATCAATACCTAAGTAACCATTATTTCTAGGTAATTTTAGGAGCAACCTTTGCACGCTTTTCGTTTCCTTGTGACGATTATCGCGTTAAGATTAGAAACAGATCTTGAAAAATATGTTCTGATTCAGGACCACTGGGAAAAGGTGCTAGAGATTTCTTGGAGATGCTTTTGGAAAGGGAAAGATTGATACACGAAAGAAAAACAAGGGACGTATTTGCAGTGACAAAGGAGCTTAGGAGGATGAATTTTGCTTCATTTTTTGTCTCTTCAAATGACTAAAATTATTGTGATTTCAGTGGCGAGGCACGAGTGATCACTTATCGATATCTCTCCACTATCGTATATTGCATTACAACATCAATCAGTGTTTTGCTTCATCATTTTTATTTGACTTTTTTTAATTCACTCAAAAACTTCAACTTCAAACTCCTTCAAAATCCACTCACTGAACTTTCTGACTGCTCTTTTACACAACCTCCGAGGCTTAGAAAATATTCGGGACGGTACCCAAAGGCGCAAATGTCCAAGAGCCTAAACTCCAAAAATGAAAAAAGCGCAGCCCAAAAGCTCAAATACGTACCGAAAGGAACACTTCAGAAGAAACATGTATATGATTTTTGCCAACACTATTTAAAGCTGATTTTATGTGTAGAGGAGCTTTAGACAGGCTTCGTCGCTAGGCAACATCGCTGCACAGGCTCATGGAGCTAATCTGACCAGAAAATCCCACTTAGTGGATCATTCAGTGGCAAACTGCCAGCGCGAAACGAGCGCTGGCGCCTACAAACCTGACAGGGATACTTCACGCACTGCGCAATGCGGGAAGTATCCCTGTTAGGTTTGTAGGCGCCTATGCGCGTGTCACGCAGGTTGCCCGCCGCCGCGCTGCGGAGTGCCACGGCCGGCGTTTTAAAGCAACTCTTTCGCGACAGAGGTGTTACACTGTATCATACGAAATTGAAGGCGCTCTAACGCATCAAGTCTGACAGGCATCCTTCAAAGAGTACAAGCTTTCCCTAGTAGCAGAACCACAGAAGGAAAAGATAAATATTATTTACGAAAGTTAATTTTTTTTATATAATGCATGCATACAAAAGTGTTAGAAGTGAACATTTTTATGTAACCATTATACATATAAAAAAATGTTATAATTTTCGTGAGCTTTTCGCGAACATACTAAAAATTCTTCTAATTCGCGAAAAGCTCACGAAAATGATTACCTATTTTTTTATATAATCGTTACATAAAAATGTTCACTTTTAACACTTTCGTATGCATGCGTTATGTATAAAAAATAAAAAATGTGTGTATAAAAAAAATTACTTTATCTAGCTTTTATCATTTTTCATATGTTACGGTCAGGTCTGAACTTTGGTTTTTTTTTATATAAGCGTTACACGTTTTTTATATAAAACGAGCATTTAGATAACAGATATGTTTTTTTTTACTTTTTTTTAGAAAAACAAAAATTTGTTCCGCTACTAGGGTTCCTCGCAAAATGCCTGGGCCAATGATTTCCAGGCCCTGAATTCCTTACTCCCTTTACCCCCGAAATTTGCCGTCCCCGATAATTTACCGCCCGGTGCCATGTCACCGTTGGCCCTCCCCTAAATCCGGCTCTGATGGAGAAAATTAGTGTTCTTGAAATGGTCTTTATTTTGTGAGAGGATGACATTTAAACAAAAAGAGGGCGTCTCTAGCTTTGTAGAAGAGATACTGTTTTATGCTGGATTAATTATACCTATTAAATATGCTTAATTGCTTTTAGTAAAATAATGGTTTCTAGCTGCCGGAAAAACATGAAGCAATTTTCTGTTTGAAAATGCCTCACAATCGAATGCCTCTATTTCAAACTTCAAATTCTAGAATCTTCCAAGGGAGGACCCCCTGAGCCCTACCCTCTCTTCTTGCTGAGTAGACCCCTCTGTGGACGTAGTTACAAAAGGTACCTAGCGGCGACTTTGTTCCACGTGCAAAAATCTCTAAGAGCTCCTAGATAGGATGAATAAACTAAATTGTCACAACAGCGCCCGATCGTTGATGGTCATAAGAAGGGGGGGATGAAAGATTAAATTTTCAGGTACTTTCCTGGTTTTGTGTGGCATTGGTACTTTTCAAGTTAAATTAGACAAAATTCAGAACAAAAAAAAAAAAACAACTTTTGTTTAAAGAAAGAATTAATTTTATTGAGTCAGTTCTGCCAAGATAAAGAGTTATTACCATGAGTTTACACGGCACAGGCACGCTTACGATGATAATTATTTATACATCAGAATATTATCCCCACTTAAAGGAAAATACATCAGTATCAATTCATTATTTTGTTTGTTTTTCAATTTACAAGAAAAAAATTCGATTTATAAACAAACCGGAATGTTTACAGAGATAAATTGACCAAAAGGCGGACTGGGACCAAAAAAGAGACCAGTTGGTGATTGATCCATCCAAAAAGTTTCTAATTCCTCCTCTAAATATGAGGAGAAGTATTAAAGTAATAACAGTCGGAATAATAAGTAATGCTCTTACTTCTAATTCATACAAATAATTGGAGAGCTAGGAGGTTTTATAATTTTTGACATATTTTCAAACTTGATAAATAACCAGCCCCTCTTTGATGAGAAGAATGAGATAGAGGGCTCCTTTGAAGCTGGCTGTAAAGAGAATGCTTTACTTTAACTCTTCCTGATAATCAAAATAATCTCATGTGACTGCTGAGATGTGAAAGCTTCCAACTGATTTGCTCTTTCACCATAATTCTTTACTTCCTTAGCCAGAAAAATAAACAATAATTAGTTGAGGTGGTGGTATTTAAATACTAGAAGAGAATGTCTGAATTAGCCATAGAGCATAGAGAACATTAGAGTTGTAACCTGAGGTGGGAACCTGCGTGCTGTGGCATCGCCAGTCGCCGCACAAATGTCATAGGAGTACTCGACTAATAACAGCCTCAAAAAGTGACATTGGTGGCGCTCCAGTATACAGTGATTCTAGTGTATACTCTAAGGGATTAGCTCAGAAAGTATTAACAGTGGAGTGAAACATCAATGGACCCATGATGACAAGGCTCATCATTTAAATATTGAACTTCTAAGTTTTGAGGAGAGAGGATTTTTAGTGAAACATGTTTCCAGTTGCATAGCAGATGAAATCAATCTGTAGATTTGCCTTGGCAAATGTGTTTTCTAAATTTCATACAAGAGAAATAGTTAATCAGATCTGAGCTAAATTTTTAAAAAGCAAAGTCAGCGGTAGTTGGAAGAGATTTAAATTAATTTGATGGATAACTAACTAGGCAAAAAAAAAAAAAAAATGAAACGAAGAGAGCATGAAAAGCTCATTACTTCATAAATTAACAGATGGAAAACGTTGAGAACATTGAAAATTTTCAAATTAACTGACAAATGAGAAATCAGCTTTTAAAGTTTGCATTTATGGGTAAAATCAGGTCCTGAAAACTTATGATTCGGCGAAGGACTAGACTTCGGTTCCACATGAATTTCTTCCGTCTTTTGGCAAATAGAGCTCTCCTATTTTTAAATAAACATCAGAACTTGAAAAAAAATACTTCATTGTGAGGAGCAAAAAGATTCACGAAGTGACCGATTCTTGCCGAATGGACTCTGATCTTTTGGCAAGCAGGGAATTGCATTCACTGAGAAAAATTACACTTTATTTCTTATTTATGAATCAAATTTGAAAATTTGCAATGTGTCCATTATGTTTTATACGTCACATTTCCATGAGGAAACATGCAGCAGGGTGCTTAATTTTTTACTTTGGTTGGTTGTCTCTTTGATCTTTTGTTCAAGCTTCATTCAATTTTATCCTCAGTGGTCTTACGATAATTTTTAGTTAACTTACTTGCAAATTTTATTTTGTAACCTCAGGTTTAGTTTCCTAAATACATGTACTTCAGATCTATTATCAATTTATATACAGAACTAAGCCCAGTAGGCTGCCAATTTTTATTATTGCTGGGTCGAACATTTAAAGAGTAGACTTTTATGACTTAGCAAAACGTTCCTAATTTTAAAAAATGTAATTTTACGCTTTGGCTTCGAAGTTCTGGACAATGGGATGAAAATATAATTTTCAGCTTACTTCAATGAAAACTTCAATGGTTACAACTTAAACTTTGCTTAAAATATTGAATCATAAGATCATAATTAGACTTATATTCACCTTAAAAATTCACAAAAAATAGGTAAATCTTAGAATCGTAACAAATTATGCTCAAAAAATAAATAAAATATAAAAAGAAAATAAAACAGAGGATTAATAAAAAAATAAATTTTTCTCAAACAGAAAATAACTTAAAAAAATAAATAGGTAGATACTTTATGCTTTCAGCTACATCAACTAGGAAAATAAAACAGAAATCAAACAAAAAAACAGGGCAAGATCCTTCTGAGGGATTTACCTTCTGTAAAAGTCAAAAACTTTTTACAAAATGGAGGTACACCTTTTATACAAAATCCTAAAATAAGGTTGACAGCGAAGATATTACCATCTAGAGAATGATGTCTCAGTTTTGTCTACCAACTTGCAATTTGTTTTTTCTTTTTACGTTTTTAGTAAGCCTGGAAACTTTCCAACTGTCAGTAAAACTGCTGAGAAATTCCACAAACTTTAAAAATTGGTTTCATGGAATTCCACTTAATCTCAGGAGGAATTAGGCATTGGTATTCTCTTAGAAATATTAAAATGGGAGCTAACTGTAATCTTTCATGTCTGACAAAGCAAGACAGATAAATTCTGGTCTTTTTCATGCAATTACTCGGCATTGGTGAGTAAAATTTCTTCCCTCGACTTATGCTTATTCCGATGAATTGCCTACTGTCTGTGAGGGTCCAACCTTCAAAGTCCGTTCTCAAACCATTTTCTAAATTATAATGTCTTCGCATAATAGCTACAATGGAAATTATACAGGGTATATTGCAAAGACCGTACACTAAGTTGACAACTGTCTTAGCACCAACCAGGAAAATTTAAGAGCAAACTATTCAGATAAAAAGTGGTCTCTTATTTCTTCATCAATCGAGCTTTGACGCAATCACTACACTTTTTTTTGTTCTGATGATTCCATCAGATCATCAGTATTCAGTTTTTAAACTTGCAAAAAGCATTGATTTGACAGCTTCAGGGTGAGTCTACAGAGCCACTGCCAGATTAATGGTGCTTCCGACTGATTCTGATATTATCGAAAGTTATTTTGCCCTATGATTTAATTACTATTATGGAAGTCACAACCGTCAATTGGACGTATTTCTATCAAACGGAACTATGTGCATTATGACAAGAGCCCTGTTATGCCTATATTCTCATGGGTCTCAGGGCTCACGTCATAATGCACATAGTTACGTTTGGCAGAAATGCTTCCAATTGATGCTGTCAAACTCTAATTAACTGTGAAGTAAGAAAGTACAAGGAGTAAACTTATTGATATATTACAGCTGATCTGGTTGATAAAAATTAGAACTATGAATTGAGTTCTCTTGTAACTGATTGTTACAATTCAAACATTAGCGCTGGTAAAAATGTATGCAAATAGAAAATATATTACTTTAAAATCCTTAACATCTTGACGACTTGGGTATACTATCATGCGATCATTTGTACTACATTCTCTAGGTACTATTTCATAAAAAATTTGATAATTGGCTGGTTTTAAAGTATTCGTTTTTTTACTCTATATTATCAATTTGCGTAACTCAGTTTTTTGGGAGAATTTAGAGATTAGACTTGTAAAAACCGAATGATAAAAGAAGCAGGGCTGCAAGATAAAATTACGACACTTTTCATGCATTTTTTTACATCAGGGTGTCAAGCAAAATTTTAATTTCCTTCTAGTTGACTTTCTATGGTCTTCCTAATCTTGTTTCCTGCATTAAAAGAACCTCTAAAATAAATATTACTCAGCGCAGAGTAATGATATGGGTTAGCAGAGGCTTAAATTTTAAGAGACTAATGTTAGGAGAGAGCACTGCAGGGCTCTGTTTCAAAGCATCGTGAAGTTATGCAAAGAAGTACAATGGACTTTGCATTGGTTGCGCTTTTCTCTCCCTAACTTGTGCAGTTGCTAGACGCCCTGATACTATGGTACAGGTATTTTAAAAGACGCAGAAGCATCAAAAAATGAAGAGAATTTAATGGAGAAGACATCCTCTGTAAATAGTTTGCTCCCTTTAACTAAAGTCAAGTCTTGAGGACCGAATCTATTCAACACACTGTACCAATGTTTAGAATATTAAATTAAATTTACACAAAAGTTTCGAAGGAAAAGATTGAAATACATCACTGTACAAAAAAAGATCAGGCAACTAATTTTAAGCTTGGGTAATGCGAGTATTACAGATATTGCTTTTTGTCCCCCAAACTAGGCCAATGGGATGGCAACGTACGTAATTCCTATATAACGAATTAAAAGATCATTGCTCTGGATTTGAGCAGTTTGAAAAATATCAAAAATCTGCGAGTGAGCAGTGCAGACAAGAGTTTGGACGGTTCAACGAACAGTCTTGATTCTTGGTGCCTGAGAAGTTTCTTGGCGACATTCTTACTTTTGTGTCAAAAACCATGGCAAGATAATAGAGGTTTTCATAATCACATAAGATTCTTCTCCAACTTTTTGCTATCAATGGAACTTACATTTCATCACGAGAATAGAAAGTATTCGCAGCTTAGTTTTCGAGGTTCATTTCAACAAACAGCGAAAGGGCTTGAGCATTATCCTAGGAAAATTTTGAGGAGAGATGGAATCGAAATGACAAAGTGGCAATAAAAAAACTTTCAGATCACTGAGAATTTTTTCATACAATACTCTTTCATCATTTTGATTCGATCCTAACAAATAAATTTACATCAAAAATGAAAAAGTTGATGAAAAAGAGGTGTACAAAATCAGGCAAGATTACCTTGGACGGGTCAAGTGAACAAATCAAGTAAATGTAAATATAAAACATTGGATAATTATTACTTCCAAGGGGAATTTTTGAGGCAAGAATAATTTTAGTACATAGATACTGAACACCTGATGTGCCCTTATAAAAAACGTTTAACTTGCACAGCAGGAAATCTGGAATGGCTGCTACATAAGATCAGTTCGATGGTGGAATGATGAAAATTACATACACTCAACTTCCTTCACTACAAACATTAAGATTACACATATTTAACAACAGGTGAGTTTAATCAAAGAGGAACTGGCCTGAGAATGATAATTTTCTGAATGATCAATTCGAGAGAGATGGTGAATGCATCATAAACTCTCAAGACTGAGTCTAAAAAGCGAAGTAATACTTGTTTGTCCATGGAAGTTAAAATTATGTCTAAACATGCGATTCATTGATTTAGAATTCACATAAAAGCAAAATGGCGATAACATCTTTCTCTTTTCGAACACTTCGCACCTGTTTGCATTATTATTCACATTGTGTGACAGGTTACGCTAGCTTCAATTACTTCATTTTATTTTACATCATGAAGGGTAGGCAATGTTTTGTACACAAATGTATGATGAAAAATTGAGTTGATGAGTTTGGACGGCATCATTTGGTGCCATATTGTACACAAATAAAGAATCAAAGAGGATCCACCGTACTCCGAAATTACACCACTTAATGACATGTCCAAGTCCATGCATATTCAACTAATATAGATTCTACCATTATCTTCATTGTGATTAATAAATTTAACAATTTTGAACGGTTTGCCCGTGCCAAGTTTTGAAGTATTACAGCTTTTTGTGTTTGCTGATAAATTTTCCTCTAAGTTGCCATAATAAAAAAAAAAAAAACTGAGACTGATTGAGAGCTCAGTTCACTTGATACTCTTAAATAATAGAATAGCAAAATTTGCTTCGGTGACCCCAGGAATGAGAATATCTTCCGATAAGTGAAGAAATTATGATATTGATGAGCAAACCTTCGGCTACCTTACCAATTTTGTTTGCCAAAAAATAAACAGAAAACTTAAGTAAAAGTATAAAAAATAAACCAGGTTAAAAAAAAAACGAGAAAGATATCATGAGGAGGAACTCTTGATGGGCGCGGAGGCTTCGACTGTACTTTCCAGAACAGAATCCTGTATACTGCTGACGGAATCTTCCGCTCCAGAGACAATATCCGAAACATCAGAAGAACAACTGACTCGTTTCTCTTTGATGGGCTGGAGTGGGGGAATGATTGCTGAATGCCTGACCTCTGGAGTTAGCAATTCTGGCGTAGTTGACTCAGATGAGCTGTTACTTCGACCTGCGGAAAGAAATGCATCAGATATTTTAGAATATTTAAGAGAAAACTAAAAGCAGAAGATGCTTGCAAAGAAAGAGAGGAAAAACTGGTCTGCTGTGGCTGAATGGGGTGGAACAAGAGCTTACAGCGATGAACATGAAAAGAAAAAAATAATCAGAGTGAAAGAAATGCAAAGAGCCATATTATCGTTCTACAGAAAAATGCTGTATGAGACTTCAGATGTTGCCAAATTTCCTGAAATAAAATATGAGTATTCAGGGAAACCTGAAAACACTTCTCCTCAAATTTTGCAGATAATTTCATTCACAATCAGATCTAAATTATCTAAAAAATTTTGGGGAAAATATGCCTAACTCTCCTTAAAACTAAACATTTTATTGGAGGAAATTTGGCGACTCTGAAATGTTCACACAGCGTATTTCAGTGTATAGCGTATGGCAGTGTATTGACGGAGACCAAGGGTCACTCAGGATAATTTTTAAATACCCTGACTACGTTTTGGTTACTTGCAATCTCTTGAAGGGAACCGGCTACAGTTGCTAAGTTGAGGCCCTACTAGCGAAATTTCCTGACTGTTCTAGTTCACCGTTAATTTCCTGATTTCCAGATTTTTCAGACTGCCAGAAATCCTGCCATTATTTTACAATTGTAAGTTCAGGGGATTGTGCAAATTTCTCAGGGGCTGATTTTGTGCTCTGCAGTATGATGAGGATCAATGAGTTTTCCAAAGTCAAAACTTCTTCGTCAACTTGAGAATTCTTCTTGTTTTATTTTTTATTTTAATTGAGGAGTATAATTTCATTTTTTCTAGGATTTACCTGAATAGTTGAGAATATCATTTTCAAGTTCAAATGGAAGAGGTGCATTGATCGAGAAGTGCATGGCTAAACTTTCCAACCACACTTCCATAACTTCGAATGGAGGCCTGAAAAAAATTCAAATGCTTAGAATGATGTCAAATTAGTTGATAGATTTTTGAGATGCGATAAAATAACTGCCATACTTCAATACTGACAATAAGTGCTAGAATCAAAGTGGCAAAATTAATGTTTCACAAAGATAGGCAAGTAATTTGGGATCAATACAATTAAGATCAGGGAGCAAATCCATAAATGATCTATATTAATACAAAGGAACTTTTTATTAAGTGATTAAAAAGTAAAAGTCGTTAAAAAAGGGAACAAAGTGAATGAAGATTACCTTTTATCAGGATTTAGATCACAACAAAGGAATGCTATCGAGTAGAATGTCTCCGGACAGTTAGAGCAGAATTTCTCTTTGAATACAGCTTGGTTGAGACCAAAATCAGACGAGCGTGGTAAATAATCTGGATCCGCTTGGACTCGCCCAATAATCTGGAATCATCACAGCAAGTACTCATTAGGTTAATGAGAAGATTGAAAAGCTTGCAATGAAAAAGACAGATATAGTCTAAAATATTTCTTAAGTAGCAATTTGAATAAACGGGAACTCCTATTAGTTATCGAATAAAAGTGCAACAAGAATTTTAGCCAATGGCGCCATTCAATAAGAATTGGACAGTTTATTTGAAGAGGAGTGCGAGTAGAATGGAGTTGCTGTGGTATTTATGCTCTCCTTCAAAAAAGCAGTTTTATCCAGGGTTCAATTTTTTGCATGAAAAGACATTTCATGATTTTCAATAGGAGATAAACACTAGTGTAAGAATCAAAGATTTTCTTCTTCAGCCCAAATTAAGGAAAAATTGCAGTTGCTTACCTCACAGAGTACAATACCAAACGAGAAGATGTCGACTTTTTCGTCGTATTTGCTTCCTTTCATCATTTCTGGTGCCATCCAGTATGGATTTCCAACAACAGTATAACGTTTTTTGCGTTCACAACGCCTGATCGTGCTCCTCTGGGTGACATTGCTTTTGTTTCCATAGCGACGAGCGGCCATATTGGTGGTTCTCGCTGAGTTGTTCGGCGAATTTGAACTACCAGAGTAAATTATCCTTGCAAGTCCAAAGTCCGCAACTACGACAGTCTTATCCTGAAAGAAAATACAGATTGAATTAATACAGTTGCATGAAGATGAATCTTCTGTAGAAAAACTTCTCCCTGTGTGAGGAACCAAGGGTTTTGAGAGATGTAGGTATTGTCATAAATTGAAAAAAAAGGAAGACAAAAAATTCAGGGAGATTAGATTAAATCTGGTAAAACAATCACACATCTAAAATACTACAATGCAGTTATATGTATATATTACTTTGATTTTTCTCTGCAATAGTTGATTGTAGAATCATCAACGTTTTCTATAAAGGAACCATTCAAATATTGCGCACAGCATTTTGGCCAACTTTTTGACCCCCCTCTCTTCCTTGTAAGATATTTGTAGGACAACCTTTCGTCCCTCCTTATGCAATATGAGAGACTCCCTCTTCCCCTAACTTTTCAGAAAACAACAAAGAAAAATTGAAAATAGCTAGAAAGAAACCCCTTCTCCCTTTAAGTAGCTTACATAAAATTAAACAATCCCATGTGTTAATGCTAGTACCATAATTGAGTGATCGGGCTTAATATTGACTTTATGAAAATTATTGCAGTTGCCATGATGATAAAAGGTGATATCATTGACCATTGCCATTCAGCTTGATAAGAACTTAAATAAACGGTCATCTCAACTGGATGAAAATTTAATGAAAGACATAGGGAAAAAAAGTTTCGGAGCATCTTCTATGCTGTGGCGGGTAGGCGTTGCAGAGTGCCCTAGCACGCCATAAAAGCAACTCATAAATACATCTTCTACGCTTACGGTATATACTGACCTCTCTTACAAGACAGTTGTGAGAGTTCAAGTCTCGGTGGATAATATTCATGGAATGTAAGTACGTCATGCCCGAAGCAATGTCCTTGGCAAAATTAATACGCTGCTCCCACGGCAGAGGTTCATTCAGGTCGTGGATGAGATCTTTGAGGGTTCCGCCTGGAATGAACTCCGTCACAAGATGAAGCTTTTTGTCTTTGTACAGAACACCAATAAACCTAAGTACGTTGTTATGACTTAAACTACGAAGAACTGCAACCTGAAAATGAAAAAACTAATTTAGTAAACCAAAAAAATTACGTTTCTTTGTTCGTTTTTTATAGTAAAACGGAGTCAGAAATTGAAGCAGCCTCAGATACAAAAATATGCTAGCATAGCAAAGCATGAATCCAAGATCTTAAGAAAAATTGGGATTTTTCAGTAGGTAAAATAAATTTTCAATTACAGGGCCAATGAGAAGTGTTACAGCTCCACTATTTGATAATATTACCTCTTTCAAAAAGTTTTTCTGCGCCTCTTCATCAACACGGTACAATTGTTTCAGAACCATAACTTCGCCTGTATCTCGGTGAGTTACTTGATAGACTTGACCAAAAAATCCTGGATGGGGAAGGTAAAATAAATTAATTAGTAAGCAGTGCAAATTTGGTAAAGATTTTGAAAGGACAGTGATTAACATGATGATTAGGCTTAAAAAATGCAAAAATCAATAAACTTTCCCCTGTTCAAAATAATTCTAAAACTCATTCCCTGAGGTTCAAAATCAAGATAGTGAGCATTCAGAATACATTCTTTGAGGAAAAGAACGTTCAGCTACATTCTTTTCAAATGGTTGATTTAGCCTTATCAAAATCTTGAAAATCGCAAAAATCAAAAAAATTTGAGGTTATTTTATGGTCAACTGGAAAAAAACACTAAGAAGTGGCCCAAATACTGTATGTAACAAGGTGGAGAAATGGTACTGGGTCCACATCATTTCTTGGGGAAATCAAATCCAAGAAGTACCAAAAATTATAAGTAGAGTCAAAATAAATCTTTTTAACTCAAATGATTTGCCCGCGAAATGGTGTGGACCCAGCACCATTTCTCCACCTTTATGGTCAACCATATAATATTACAAAGACTCAATGACTAAATAATTAACTACAGTGCAAGATAAGGTTCAGGTCTGTCACATAAACCATTTAAACATTGACAAGAACATGATTAATCAGGTAACCATCAAAATATTATAAATGTAAATACCAAGTTGACTAACGGCACTAAGCCATCGTTTAAGTCAACAGGTTAAAAGCTTCCACTGACCTTGCAAACAAATTTAAGTTTTTTTAGAGACTTTTAAAGTATACATGAGAAGCTGCAACCATGATAAATGCACTAAAATATAATAAGCACTCAAGAGTATTTGAAGAATGGAAGTTGGAATGTTTTGAAAAGTAATCCAGCTAAATTTAATTTTGACGAGATGAAGTAGGCAATCTCAACTAAAAATAAACTCAGGAACTAAATTAGAACTGTAAACATTTCAATGATGCTAAAATTATTTAATTTTCTTACCAGTATTTGTAAGGGGGTCCAGAGTTAAAATGTTCTTATATTGGAAATTAAAGTTAGAACAATAGTAGAAACTTTAACGGATGAGCAGCCCAAGAACTATTCATAACCTCTTGTAAAGTAAAGAGGTTTCCAAAAATTGCACCTACCCATGAAATGAGTGATGCGAAACAGTTTATCTTGGTTTCAGCAACTATACTCTCACTAACCGATCATTGAGTATAATGCTCTCCCAGACAAGGATTAGGTGGCAAAGATGGGTCCCTTTATAAGTAACCTTACAGGTACTGAGGATTTGCAGGGTGTTCAACTTCAAGGCAATCAAACTTTTTGACATATTCTCTTAAATTTTATCAAATGATTTTTCTAACAGGAGGATTGCTTGTGTCATGGGCTTCAAATTGCAAAATTAGGAAAATGAGACACTTTGTGTGGAAAAATTCATAAAATTTTGCACTGGCTGTTTTATATGTGCCAACCCTCTCTGGTGGATGAATTTGGAACTAATCTATGTTACACTGAAAACCATGCTATTTTTCCCCTGAACTTTGTGTACCTATAAATTAATCATAATAGAAGAACCCTTTCTTGAATCCATTTGCAACAAATTCTAAAGAAAAAAAATACACTTTATAATGCAACACGTAACTTTATAAAAGATAGGTTGACTTATGAAAAAACAGCATATGCATTTTGTGAGTGAGTGGTCATTGTTAAATTTGGGATGAAAACAATATTGATTATCTGTAAACCCAGTTGAGCAAAAATAAAAAAGTAAAATAAAATCTGGAAAAAACTTTATTTGAATTGATACCTTGTCCAAGGAGCTTCCCTTTGACTAAATCCGAGGCTCGAAATATTCTTTGGGTTTTAGCGGTGGTTTCTACACGGAATGATCGAGTTCTCGATAAATCACAGCTTTCTTTAGAATTTGGGGATGACCTGCAAAATAAAAAGTAGATTAATACAAAAAGTGTTGTAATTTATCAAGAGAGTGACAGAAAGTTTACCTCAATTGAATCGCGTTTAGCAGATGGGAACCAACGCCATTTCAGTGTTGTAAAAATCGTGCATCTTTATTTTTATCTAAAAAAAAAATGCCTATGCTACCAAGAAAATAGTTTTTTCTATTTTTTTACCAAAAAATGGCTAATTTTTAAGGAGAACAATGGAGTAAATTTTAGTACAGCGTAAATATTAAGTACTTTATAAAGTGAAGAAGAAGTTGCACGATTTTGAAAACACTATTATCGCGTGGGTTCCTGTTTGCTAAATGCAGTTCATTAATCCGTAGAATGCTAACAAATTTAGAGGCAAGATACAAGTATTTCTTCAGTAAAACTCTTTAAATTAGGTTTTCTTTTTCTTGAACGCAGTGCAAATGCAACAGCACTCAGGTGTATTTGTGAGAGACCAAGCAACTTCTAATAACTTTGAGGAACTTACTTAAAACATTTAAAAAGATAAAACAACAAACACATGACACCGTGTAAGTGACAGGACTTTAAAAAATCTATCATCTCCTTTAAAAATATACTGAAAAATAGCTTTAAACACACTGATTATTACAACACTCTCGAAGTCCACGACTAAAATCATCAGACTCAAGAGAGCTGCAGCAAACAGACACAGGATATGGATTTCTCAATTCAAGAATAAGCTGAGACAGTAAAGGGAGGAAATTAATAATTAAACAGATAATTTGACCAGTGAAGCAGAACAGCCAGAAAAATAGACTGAGGGCAATGATGTCTGATAGATTTCACTGGAGAGACACTGCCCTGATTAATCCAAGAGCACTCAAATATCACATTGCCAATTTAGAGTAGGAGAGGAGGGGGGGGGGTGTCCAAGTATACATTACAATCAGAGTGTACATGACTTTTTCACTCTGAATTCCCTAAACTTTGAAAAAAAAACTTCCACTTCGATTTTTTTTCCTTTTGCCTAATTATGCTGACTTTTGCTGAACTTCGGATAAAATTTTCACAACCAGAAATTCAAATTTTTGGGGAAAAGGCACCTAGAAGTTGTTCCCACTTTTTCCAGTGGGACTGGCTGAAGTTGCCAAGCCAATGCCTTACATGCGGAGTTTCCTAGCTTCTTTTATCGCTGTACACCCTAAACAGTGCACTACAAAGCAAATAGAGAGACAAAAACTCAGTGTTACACGATGATCCAGAGAAAAAAAATTAAGTCACTATGTGTAACTTTGTGTAATAAGGTAAATTTGAGAGGAAAAAGAAGTTCCGATCAAACTTTGCCCAAAAACAGATGAAAGCGGAATAAGCTTCTGTGTGACTTAATTAATTTTATTGAAAGGGGGGTGTCAAGTTTGCATTATAAATACATACCTAATACCAGTAGAGAGGAGAGTGTAAAAACCCAAGAAAATTCCGTTAATGTTTCCGGTGCCATTATGTGCCTAGTGTGTCAGTTTTTGGTTGTATTTTTTTTAAAAAAATGGAAGCGATCGTAAAAAAAAAATACCTATCTACGTTCAAAGATTTGAGAAAAAACATATCTGTTTGGATTGTGGATTGGGTTTCAGAATTTAAGTTAGGAGGTTAGAGTGAGTAAAATTTGATGCTAAAGCATTGCCATGCGCCGAAGACCGAGGGACAAATAGACATGACCTGAACAATCTACAGGGACTTATCTGCAGAAGAGTTGATTACGCTTAATTGGCTCTGTTTCTCGATTGAGTTTTGAGGGGTTTCTCCGAGTTCCTCCTTTTCCCATAGCAGCCTTGCTGATACCCTCTTCTAATTGTCTATCTAAACATGATGCTGGTCTTACACTATTGCACTAAAGTCTTTTCTCAAAACTTCCGATGTGGCTTGACTCCGTTTGCGCAAATGTGCTCAAGTATGCTCGAGCATATGAAACTGATGAATAATTTTGAAAAGCTGGGAGAAAAGAAGTGACTAGAAAAACTTACCCTTCCAATCTAGAGGTAGAGGATGACCTCTCTTTAGATTCATTACAACGGCCACGCCTGAGTTGCCTAGAACTCCGGGTTGATCCGCTTAAATAGCCTTCGTCCTTATTTTTTTTGAACAGACGCGTGCTTACATCTCTTATGGGTGCTGGCGACAGGGACGACAGAGGAAACCTGGCCCTTCTTCGACTGACAGAGTCTGGGTCATGTTCAATTGTCAACTGGTGAAAAGAAATATACAACTTTACATCAGTAACACAACTAAAGAATCAGTTATTTATTATATAAACTTGAATTTCTGACAAGGAAATTGCCATTTGTACAGTGAGTATCAAAATGTAGTGCAGGTCTCCCTGCCCTTTACAGAGGGTAATATGTATTCTTAATTGTTAAAGATGTAAGTGTTTCAGGTTTGCACATATACCAATTAAAATTTCTGAAATAAGCACTTTTCAGACCGGATTTTCTCGAAATTGGCATATAAAGCGTTTGATTCCAAAAACAGGTCTTACTCAGTAGATTGTACGGAACATCATAGCAGAAAATCTCGAAATTCAGTGAGCAGCGAAAGGACCCCACACACCTCTTATGGGAAGCTGCACCATGAAGGAACGTTAATTTATTTATGTCATTCGATTCTCCTCTGGACGTTGATCAAAAGTTATAATTGCGCCAACTTTCTACAATGCACCGTTTTCGTAAAAAACCGCCGAGAAGATTCAATTATTCGGTGACAATGAATAAAAAAGAACAAAGCATTTGAGAACAGGCCCGATGTAAATGAGGAAAAACATAGCGCGTGTCCGTCTTCTTATCTGTACCTGCCGACTCTAGGACTATCCCCCTCCTCCTGCTCTCGACGCATCCGTTTGACATTCACTGACACACAGCCGCTTGAATAGTGAAATGAGGAATCATTCTGGCTTTTTATCGCCAAATAATTGAATCTTCTCGGCGGTTGTTTGCGAAAACGGTGAATCGTAGAAAGTTGGCGCAACTATAACTTTTGATCAGCATCTTGAGGAGAATCGAATGACATAAATAAATTAACGTTCCTACATGGTGCAGCTTCCCATAAGAGGTATGCAGGGCCCTTTCTTTGTGTTGTGTGCCTGGTTCTCAGGAGAAGGAGCAAAAGGCAGAGCAAAGGGCAACGTGTGAAAAAAAAAATCTTGGGGAACTTATAGAGGAGAGAAAGTTTAAAAGTATTGAGTAGTTAAGCCCCACAAGAAAAAAGACAATACCTGCAGAACAGTATCCGAATATCGTATCAAATTTTCAACATTTTCAATAGTTTGATCTTTCACAGGTGTGCCATTGACTTCTAAAATCCGGTCTCCTATGTGTAATGAAATCAGATCATTGCTAACGTCCAGCCTGAAAAAATAAGTACATATGACTATTACACACAGAAATAGAATCTGCACTACTAAGGAAAACATTCATCATCTATCAATGATACAGTCACTGATCTGGTTGATAAAATCGAGGCTATAGACTTGACTATCAAGCTCAAGATACCTGTTAATTTCATTCTTCAATTTAGTAGTGAGGATATTCTTGAATTCGACATTGGATTTTCAGAATAAAATATCTGAACAGATGGGCCAAACGCAGGGGATGCTAGACTTAAATAAAAAAGAGTCCAGAAAATCAATGTTTTTGAAAATTTTGCTTTACCGAAGAATTTTAAGGTTTCCAAATGTCCTGTAAACCTGTGAAGTCTCTAAGGTCAAGGCTTAGATTTCACGAAAATGTATCATGGATGTGCTTGAAGTTATTCTTTTCACAGCCTGACCAACGAATTAGAGTTTAATTTTGCTGACATTAAGCTCAGGAATAATACTTAACACGAGTCAGTAGGGAAAGAAAGCCAAGAAGTACCAAAAATTAGAACTTAAAGAGTTTAAGAGAGAACTTTTTAAGTTTAGAAATTAGAACTCTAATGCGCACCAGTACAAAACTGAGGGGGGAGAGTGTTCAGCTCAGGCAGTTTGCATTGGAATATTAAGTTGGAGTCACGCCAAGAGATCTATACCGGTTTGGGCCTTATTAGACCTCATCAGCAGATCACACTCGGCAGTGAACCCAACTTAACATGCTGCAAAATCCAAGACGGCCCAAAGGCCCAAACCTCTTGGGCCAAAACTCAAACCAAAACTCTCTTGGCGTGACTCCAACTTAATATTCTAATGCAAACTGCCTGAGCTGAACACTCTTCCCCCTCAGTTTCGTACTGGTGCGCATTAGAGTTCTAAAAATTTATTTTTGACTCTAATTTTAATTTTTGGTACTTCTTGGCTTTGTTTCCCTGCGAAATGGTCTGGACCCAGCACCATTTCTCCACCCTGTTACATACAGTTCGGGCCACTTCTTAGTGTTTAATTTTTTCACGAGTCAGTAGTATGTACAGGATTATAACATGTCTGATCAAGATATGGTACACTAAAATGAATTTCATCAAAAAATAGAAATAAAAATTTAAAAAAAACCCAGGGAAATATTAATCAGAGACAGTTAATTTGTGCGATAACAAAGATCATAATTTATAGTGGGTAATGTTATCACAGAAAATGATTAGTTTGGGTGAAAGTCACTTAAAATCAGTCTTCATGATATGCAGGGATGGAAAGGATAAACCAAGTAATTTTAACATTTTGGTTGAGGCGCTAAGCTTTGCTAACTGCCAAATAGTGGGGCAATTGTGAATGATTATTTCTTAGCTCATAATTAGTTTTTTCTTGTGCTACTGCCTCTGTAACAGAGAAATAATTTTCATTACCTCTTGATCAATACTTAGTGTTGGTCATAATAGGGTGGTATTTTGACTTTCCCAACCGTGAAATAGTCAAGTTAACGTAAAACACCTGTGTGGTTAGAATGATGCAGAATGAGGATCAGACAAGATTCTTACTCAGTGAATCACACAGCCTGTTCTTTTTTGCTTACTTAGACTTCTCAGCACCTATTGCCACGGAATCGCTGGGCCATCAGAACTCAGTGTTACCAGGGATAAGCTCTGAGGGATCCAGCACTCTCTATCCAAAGACAATAATTTAAACAGTCTGCTCCTCCTCTCATCAGGATATTCTCATTCTATTTTGCATAAATTAAAAGTTACCAGGATACTACATGAGGGAGCAGCAAAACTCTTTGGATAGAGAAAATATGTTGCGAAACTTTATCTGTGCTGATGTGTCTGAGGAAGTTTTAGTGACAAGTCTAAAGTCTAGAGTCATGTTCCGGATATTAGATAATGCATTGGTTTCTTAATTGCAAATTTTGTCAAAAGATATTTTTTTTCCATTGCTGACCGACATAGGGTGGCGTGCATCAAATCTGAAAATACAGTGCTTCGCCAAATGGAGTGGAGCCTCAGCCAAAGTGTTAATAGGACAGTGCTTGAAAGCACATAAAAAGTCCGATACATCCTTGGTTAATGACTAATTTTACAAGGAATTAGAACTACAAACTATTAGGGGATTGAGAGATATGTATTCCATAGAGATGCAAATTTTACCTATATCGAGAAACAACACAGCAGAGTTTAAATGCAGCTTTTATTAGGATCACAGCCAGTTCTAAAATTTTTTCCACGATATTCCACAAGAACCTGAAAATGCATTATTTCCACAATCGATGTTAGTGAGTGATGACATACATGTGCTACTCTTGTGAATAACCAAAATATTAGAGGAAAGGCGCCATTCATAAATTACATACGGCACTTAGATAAGGAGGAGAGGTTAGGTTCAATATTGCAGAACAAGTTGAAAAAAATATTGGGTGATTTTTTTTTGGGGGGGGGGGGAAATGGATTTTGAGGCAAAATTATAGGGGGAAAAGTGGAAATGGAGGGGAGCAAATGGACTACATTTTTCTAATTGGAAGTATAAATTCTAGCCCGGTTTAAAAACAACGTACTTGCCATTTGTTTTCCTATGCACATAAGTGTTTTTCCAGAAGAGCCAAAATTCATAGTTCCAAATTGCAAAATGCAGTCCAAATTATGTTCAGGGTAACTGAATTTACAAGGTGGGATTGGGTTAAAAAGTTTGTTCTAAATAGGGATTAAAAGAGGAAAGTTGCATTAACTTAATTTTTTATTGGCTCCAAAGGTACCAAAAAGACAGGGAGAGAGAGAGAGAGAGAGAAAAAGGGGAAGAGACAAAGAACTTTAACAGTTGTAAAAGCATTTTACAAAAGGGACTTTTTGATAGAGAAAAGTATCTTGACGGATACCTTGAGATATTGATCATTTCTTGATCTCTCAATCTTGACCATTAGAGGGGGGACCAAACCAATTAGTTGAGGTTTTAAGTCCTCGGTAGCATTTTAAACCATAAATAAATAGTTGGAAATTAGTACAAACAAAGTGGGATTCTTGGAGAGAAAAATTATCCTACATAAAGAGAAATATCTTCCTGTATGATTTACTCCAAGATTTCATTCTTTTCGGATATTACTTCTCTCGTTTCTAGTTCTTGGCTGATTTCATGAAAAAGAGTTCTGGGATGAATCCATTTTCTCAAAATGTAATCAGATTGATTTCACCGGAATTAGTCTGAAAGCATTGCATAGGGTTGAAAATCCTCACGTGCACTATTTCTCTGATAACCAATTAAATGCAACCTCGAGTTGCTTTGATACTCAATTACCATACGCTTGAATTTCACAAGCAATTCACAAATAGTTTTAATGCATAGATTGCCTGGTTCAACGCTAAAAAAAGAAGACATGCGAGGAAATTTCATGGAGTGAAATGCAGCAGGGCTGAACCTGATTACAGTAGTCCCATTTGTTGGAGCCTCTCTCTCTCTTTTTAATTACTGATAGTTGACATTTGTGTGTTCAAAGGATAAGTTAGATGAATAATAAGTAGGAATTAATTCCCCCACAAAAGCAACTACAGGTTAAAATTAAAAGCACATGATTATAACTTGATTAACGATCAAAGGCTGTTTAGGAAAATACAATGTGAGATGTCACATTCCATACAAGACTTATTATGTTATGTTTCTGCTTGTTACAGTTTGAGAGATTTTGTCATTTCAGGAGTCTCTATAAAGGACTCTACCAGAATTTGTATTTCCAAGACTTTGAAACAGAGTATCCGTCTTTCTTTCTAGAGAGATACCTTGGTTTAAATCTTCAGTCATGCAACTTGTATAAGTAGATCTACAGCCATGCTCAAAATTTAATCATTTGGTGATACTTTTGAATTCAAAGAGGAGCCTAAAATAACGAGCCTTTGATAAAATTTATCAATTTAAAACTCAATGCAGTTTAGCAGATGAAATTTAACAATACCGTGATGTTTTAAGATTCCACCCAGCATAATACCTTTTTTTTGTGAGAAGTTAAAGTGATATTTATCTTAACTCACTCAGATTTATTATTAATCTGGAATGGAATTTGTTTTATTTCAAACTCACGGTAATGACAAAATAAATGGAAGAGGGAATTTTCGGAGATACGAAAATGCAGTCAGATCACAATTTCTTAGCAACTAAATAAATTAAACAAGGGTTAAAAAAGGACCCGTCTCATCTCTCTAGATAAAACAAAATATTTCCAGAAGCTATGAAAATGAAACTTGACCAGGAAGACTTATTAGGATACAAACATTGATGAAAATCAAAGGACTATTCTGGTGAGATGAACACGCAGGAAAGCGAACTTTGGCTTTATATTGGCCATTACTTGGCCTAGGGCTTTGCCCTATTAAGGAAATATTTGTAAGTACCTGCAATTCAAAAGTTCAGGATTAGGCTGTCAACCCATTATTAGAAATTATTTACAGACCTTAAAAGTGCAAAAAAATGTTGCACCTGATCCAGTGGCGAGGCGTGCTTTGCAATATTTCGATTGATCTGCCTTTAAACCTGTGGAAAAGGATCGATAAACAGGGTGTTTGCTACGAACACCTTAATGATCGATCCTTTACCATACCTTCGAATGGGGAATTATTGATAATCAATCATTCACGCCTCGCCACTGACCTGATCATATAAAATTCTTCATCTCGATAGAACTAATTTAAGTTTTTTCAATGCACTCATTGGTTCAGTTGGTAGTCATTTGTATGCATTTACACAAAAGAAGTCTACATGGCAGGGCAGGGAGTCTTTTTTTTGGATAAATGTATTTATTTATTGTTTTACGCAACACATTTACAACCCAATGCAGATTGTTAAACTTACTCAGATATTCGGAGTCCTTGGCATTGTGATGTTTCATGCCTTGGTGCACTTTCAGCAGACAATTTGATACCTCTCGTTGATTCAGGAGTTGGTGGAATTTCAACGAGTCTAATTGAATGCGGTTTTCGAGAAAATGGAGTTGAGTTGGAGTAAGTTAGACTGAGAGGTTGCAACTGCCGCTTGTAGCACACTCCACTGTAATTTCAAAAATCGTGAAGAAATAATTTATTATACTATGATAAAAATGGGGCCTCTCTGATTAGGTTACGACCTAAGTTTCCTGATTTATAATTAATTAAAATGAGCTTATAGGATCCACAAAGTCACAACGCAGAACCATGCTAGGACTTTAAAGGAATATTCAAGAACTTTTTAAAAGTTTTCCGGAGACCTTCAACTGAAAATTTGAGAACTTTATTGCAAAACGGAAAACACTAAAAATTTGATGTTTGATAACCTGCTCCCTCTCGTGGCGTACCAATAACAACGCTCCGTTTAACTCCCCTCCCTTAAATTAACGTTTTATAACGACCTTAAAGTTCTTAATTTTCATTATCATAGTGTTGCTTTTCTGAAATTTTTGTCCTTATGTTTGGAAAACTCTACAGTTAAACTCCTTTAATTCTGTAGGTAAAATTTCACATTTTTCCACCTCGACTCTGGGAGAAAATGAAAGACTCATGTTTCTCTCTTTTCAACAGGATGATATGTTATTGGTTTTTTTATTGCGCAATTTTTGCTGGTTTCTCTCTTGCATAACCAAAGCAAGCCTCTTATTTTTCGATAAAAGCTCACTGAGAAATTTGCCCGGTTGGTCAATTTGGCTCCTGTAAAATTTAAGTGAAACGATCCTTAGCACTAGTATGTAAATAAACTGACTAACCAATAGAGTTTTGATCGTTCAACCAGAGCATAAGACTCGCCATCTCCAATGAAGTTGCTGCAGATTGTACATCGAAAACATTCTGGATGGAATTTATGCTCTCCAGCTACCATCACTGGGCCAGTGATTATCTGTAAAAATCGAAGAATTTTTTGTGAAAAACGACATTTTCAACATTAATCAAATATTTATCAGTATGTTAGAGTTTGGTAAAGTTATGTTAGAGTGGGCTAGAGCCACCCTCTAGCCCACCCAGAGATCCAGAGTATACCTATTTTCTGTAGATATGTAGTTTCTTACAAGGGGAGCTTCCCAAGTGTAACCGGAATTCCGAGTTGAAATTTCGCATGAAGATACTAGAGATGATTTTAGGGATGCCGTATTTTTTCGTTTTTTCGAATGGGGTCGGGAAAGCCCTCAAAAAAAGGGCTAAAGATGCGGAAAAAACGCGTGCGCTAGCGGCACAAGGTAAACGTAGGTGATAGAGGCTCTGTATCCTTATCAGTACCGCGTGGCCAAACGGTAGCGCGCTCGCCTCGCAGGCGGGAGATCCAAGGATCGGATCCTGATTGCGGCTCGTAATTTGATTCTACTTTATGCTTGTTTCTTTTTGTCAAGCAGAATTTCCGGAGTATCAGTCAGATACAGATACAGATTCGACTGATACTCCGGAAATTCAGCTTGGCAACGAAATTTGGTGGGTTTTAGAGTGTTTTGTTTATTCAATTACATATAACGTTTCAATCCAAGAGAAACTTCGAGTTTTTATCAGCATATGTAAAAAATCTTCAGTCACTACGTGTTCTACCTCGTAAGTCGGTTTGCGGAGCGAATGGTGCAAAATAAAGTAAGTGAAAAAGAAACAAGCATAAAGTAGAATAAAATTACGAGCTGTAATCAGGATCCGATCCTAGGACCTCCCGCCTGCGAGGCGAGCGCGCTACCGTTTGGCCACGCGGTACTGATAAGGACACAGAGCCTCTATCACCTACGTTTACCTTGTGCCGCTAGCGCACGCGTTTTTTCCGCATCTTTAGCCCTTTTTTGAGGGCTTTCCCGACCCCATTCGAAAAAACGAAAAAATACGGCATCCCTAAAATCATCTCTAGTATCTTCATGCGAAATTTCAACTCGAAATTCCGGTTACACTTGGGAAGCTCCCCTTGTTAGTGAGGAGATTGCAGTCGAATCCTTATCCACAAGAATCATCACTAAGGAGGATATGGACCATTTTTTTTTTCCACAGCTGACTTGCCGCTGAAGTTTGCATGTGTCCCTTTGCAACCAAGGTTTTTTTCAAGATTTTCTGCTCTCGAGACCTGGGATTTCCACTGAGTAAGTCTGCAGGAATTTTGTGCTCTTTCCTTAAATGGGAACGATTACAGAGAGACTTTATTTTTAAGAAAGAAAGGGGGAACTCTAGTGAGAAGAAAGGCAGAAAAAGAGAAGAATGGGAAATAGACAAAAATTAAAACTAACTTGATTGCAGTTCTGGCAAGCTTCTCCATACTTGGACCAATAGTCATCTTTACAGAACAGCAACCCATCTTTCTCAAAATACCAATTAGAAAGGGGAATGTCACAAGCTGAACACCTATAAAACATAAGAATAATTGTGATTTGAGAAAAAATAATACAATTTTTAAAGCTATAGGTGGAAAAATTAAGTGAATTTTCAAATATTTTTTTAGTAATAACTCTGGTTAATTTCATGAATGGAAAAAGAAAGGTGAGATTTTATTTTAAAAAAAGAAAAAGAAAAGAAAAAAATATGTTAGACAATCCTGACAAACACACAATAAAATATGAGGTAATTTCAAGTTCATGCACAAAATCAAGAATAACACATGTATAGTAAAGGTTCATTAGAAACCTAACTTACGCTGATTCCACAAGTTGTATCAATAAAAATTACCTTCTCGTTATGCCTTTTGAATCAACTTGAAACTATTGGCAATGCAATAAACAAAAAAGCAATCACAGTTAACTGCACTTCTAGTAACAAGTTGTTTATAATTTTTTCTTTACAAACTTTCCTGAAGTTGTTGCTTAAGTTTCTTGAATCAAAATTTGAGAACTTTTTTTGCTTTTTGGATTTTTTCTCTTTCCTTTGTACTGTCTTCAAAAATCAAGGTGCTTAAATTCATGAGAAGATTACAGAATTTAGGCTCTTTAACTGTAAGATGGAATTTAATTCGATTACAAACCTGAAACAGTCAGTATGCCAGTCTTGATTAAGGGCTTGAATGTATTCATCTTTGTCAATAGTATTCAAACAACCTCCGCAGATGGAATGCTCAGAGCTGCATTTATCTGAACACTTGTCTGTAAAATTAAACAAGATGAACACAATTAAAAACTTGAAATCAAACTGAGGTTATTCAAATAAAACTGTTCAAAGTTTTCAATTTAAAAATGACATCATTAAAAGAAAAAAAAATATAATTTAAAGATTTAATCAGCCATATTCGAGGCTCAACATTTATACATTAAAATACAACTTAAGCCTTCTATCCTAAGGATTGATTGAGACGCTTGCACCTATTTGCTTTAGATACTAAACTGCACACCTGTCTAAGCCAAAAAAATTAATTTTCATGTGCAGAAAGACAAAATGTCTTTATCCTGCGCACTTTGTCTTCAGGATGCAAAGTCTTTTCTCTGTGGACAGTCATGAAAAAAGAATCCCTGGTGTCCTTGGATCAGACTCTTTTTCAGTGGAGATACAATGCTTCTGTGCTAAGGAAAAATGCTGTGAGAGCTTTCAGATATGGCCATACCTCCTCTAATAAAATTCAAATCCGAGTACATGGAAAATTGGGAATATTTTTTTTTCAAATTTTCAAATAATATTTTTATGCAAGTTACCTAGTCTGGAATATCTAAAAATTTAACTAAAAGATATACAAAACTATCCTCAATGATAGACATTTTGTCAGGGGTTCATGCGCCGCTTTTCCTTAGCAAAGTAGCATGGGATGTGAAATGTGCTTTTCATGCAAGTATACAGTGGGAACGCTATTTAACAGCAACAGTCGGTCAGGAGTGGATTTACCTCAAATTGCCTGATGATTTAAAAAATTTTCATCTCTGCCGACAAAGAAATTAGAAGATCTAGTTTTGAGTAGATTTACTACGCAGGTTGCCCACAAGATGATCATTGCTGGTGTACATTGCTTAGAAGTGATTAGGTACATAGTTTCTCAATTCATATATTCTACACTATGCAGAGCTATCCTCAAAAATAAGGGAGAGACAGGATGCTGGCCATTGTATCATAGAGAGTCTATATTATAATAGTCAATACAAAGAATAATGATGCTTTGCAATCAGAAGCAAAACTCCCGTAAGAACGCGCTGAAGCAAACCCCGTACTTCCTTACTATGATGCCACATTGTGCGTTCTTGAAATGAGCGCAGCAGAACTTTTAAATTTCAAACCGAATCGGCAACCATGATCGCACGGACACGCATTTGTCAAATGTGAACAGCACTGTACTAAATATTCTTCTTCTTCTATATCCCTATCCCTTCGACTTCCCTATCCTAGTTTCGCTTCTGATTGCGAAGCATCATTATTCTTTGAGTCAATACTAGCCCATAAGTCCAACTGTATTTTCATGGCCTCAAGGAAAGTTTCATCATTACGGCAATGCAAACTACCTTTGAATTGATGGAGCTATGCTTATTCAAGATGCAGTAAGTACAGGCTCCAAGTGCTTCACGGTAACTGACTTTTGCTGCAGTCATGGAGAGTCAGAGAGATATTTCAGAATTAAAGGGTTCTCGACATTACCATGCAATTTGAGCACCAATATTAAGAATCAAGAGCAGCGCAGGTTATTTAGTCATTGATGTCATAAGATACTGCCTTTTCGCAAAAATATAAAAGAAATTGGAAGAAAATAATTTGTCACGCATGAAGGAATAGTTCACTCATTTTTGTTTACATTAACAACTCCTGAGTTTTATCTGACAAGAAGGAACTACAAATGCCAGACACTCAGGAGATGATCCATGATATTTACGCAGTGTCAGCCACAAGGCAAGCAACAATTTTTAGTGTTAATAAATTTGCTGCATAGTCTCAATATGGGATGCACTGATTGGAAAGTTTATTATAGTGAGAGAAAGATTATCTGATCAACTTACCCGAGTCTACGGAGGCCATCATTCACAAATCGAGGAAAATAAGAGGAACTAGTGGTTCCCTGGATCATCCATCAGTAGACACATACACTGGTATGCCTAGCAATATGAAAATAACTTGTGAAATGTACACGAGAAGTAAAGAAACCAACTGTCAGATAAATAACGACGCAGAGCTTGTTGTCTGTGTTTACTTCAGATCAGAATCAGAATTACAAAATCCAAGGAATCAACAGAACTTGAGAAATTAAATTAGGTTGGTGATTGACCAGCACGGGTGAAACTATCTCCATCGCAAATTAGCGAGTATACAAAAAATTACTGATTAAATTGGATTACTTCTAACTCGATATGTGAAACTTGAAAATTATCAACGCAAACACATCTTTTGGCAATCTATGGCGTCTCTCTGATTATGACTTTCGCGAAAGCACGAAAGCACAGATGTACGATGAACTTTCGGTGAGCACTCAACGATGGGCATTGCATGTTTCAATTAGGTTATGTTCTCTATCATTGTATTGCCTGCTATAAGCCTAACTCTTTCACATTTTCGACCGGAAAATTTGTTTTTCCCCTTAAAAATCAACAACTGTCTGCACTTTGATCGATTGGATTCAGTCATGAAAGGGTTTACGTTTACAAAGTTTGTCCCTTTATGTTAAATATCTTCATCATTTTTAGAACAGTTGATCAACGCACCCTTAATCTTGTAAGTACACGGTTGTTTACTCTTACTTCCTGCGCTTTAAACTTTGATAAAACTATGACACATAAACAGTATTTCTTTTATCTTCCAAAGTTTTTCAAACAAGTTCAGGGGGATAATGGAAAGTGGAGATACATAGTCAACCAGCGCAAGGCTTGTGAGAGCCAAAGATGATAGTGTACCTCGCTGTTAGTAGAGTCCACGCCAAGTACGGCTACACACTGTTATAGATCGGCAGAAAAGCAGCTGGTATCCAATCAATCCTATCTGTACTTCCTATAGTCCACGCCCAAATAAGTTTCCCCATTTGTGGACTGCGATAGAAGATCAGCCACCTTGCTTCTTGCATTTACTTTGCGTGTAGAAGTGATGTCAGACGGTCTTGTCTCGCAGTCTATAAGTGCGTACACTTATTTGGTGAAGACTCTAAGAGTCTAGGAATCTTTTAATTTTGCCGTGGACTCCTGAATTTTACAGGGTAATGAAATTAAGCATTTTCTCATCATGGTTTTACTCAGGTAGGCAATAGAACTTGGTGGACGTATCAAAAATTTCCAAATTAAACTCATCTGTGAAGAATCAGCATTTTTTGTTTATTTCAGCGCAAACTTTCTTACAAAATAACGAAAATCCATTTGAGTAAAATCGGTTACAAGATAAATTTCAGTGTGTTTTGCCATAAATTAATTCTTTCAGTGTGCTAATCTTTTTGGAATAGCTTTAAAAGCACTGCGCATCTAAGTAAGAGCAGTTTTTTGTGAAACCCAGTTCTGGTGAAGTATTTTTCCCTTGGCAAGTTTATTTTTCTTGACAGTTTTGATTTGGACAGCTTTGACTGAAATGGAATCCGACGGATTCTCTCTGCTCTAATCAGCCTTTTTCTGAGGCGTTTTTGGCTTATACTGTCATCTGATCAGTGTTTAGTGAACATTTTTGTTACTCTGCAGCAAGGATGCGAATTTTTCTAGGCCTCTGCATTTTCAAAGAGGCCTCTAAAATTTTCAGAAACAAGAAGTTCAATAATTCTCTGCTTGGTTTTTTAGTGAGGTCAACTGTTGACGCCAGAGCTTGCCCTGTCACTAAACCCACCGCACGCCACTGGGTCAACACAAAGCTCCGATCAGGAGACAAAAAACCACCAACAAAAAGCACAAGAAAAAAACTCAGCCCTCACACTTTTGACGGCATATCGTCAGTTGAAATTGCAACTGCGTCTAAGCATTTAAGAACGATTTTCACCCCTGTTCAGTAGAATATTTTATGACTAATTACTGGAAAAGCATTTTTAACAATTGAGCGGATCCATTTTAACATTATTTTTTTTATTTAATGAAGAATGATATGAGCCTCATTATTGGAAATTTTTAAATTTTTTTGATTCTAGCATTCGGCTCAGAAATGAAATTATCAGAGATCAGACATGCACAGCATACTTTACGTTGGTTTCAACGCCACTGGCGTGTTCAAGGACGACGAACCCCAACAAGAACTTATGACTTCAAAGTCTTAGCAAGGCATAATATTCCTGTAGAAAATGCACTAGATGTTATCAAAGAACCACATAGCAAGCCATGGACAGACGCAGAGTAAGTATGGAATTTCAACTCTTGAACGCAGAGAAAGAAAGAAAAAAAAACTCAAATCAGAGAAAGACAAGCTTATTGACTGAAGTCTATTCCTGATTTAAAAGAACTTCAGAAATTTTATGTAGACAGATGGATAATTTTATTTTCAAAGTGTACCTACATTTAATAAAGCATAGAAATTTACTGCTGACCAGCCATAAGTGTTTACTTGTATGGTTGGTCCAGTTTTACAAAATAGAACAAGACAGATTAGATTTAGCACAAAAAATGATAACTAAAGACAAAAGGGAGTAAGACTATAAAAAAGAAAAAAATGAAAAGTAAAGAAAGTAAGAGAGAGAAAAATATAGAACCAAGAAAAATTCAAATTTCAGAAAAATTAAAATAAATAAGTAATGACTAATAGTATTGACTAGTAAAACAGGTTATTGGTTGACCAAACATGTGAGTTTCCGTTGAAGGCATTTTATATTTTAAATCATATCTGTTAATTTTAACAAGTCTTGCTGTCGATCTGTGATTATTCATACAAAAGAACCTAAAATCCTGGCGGAAAATTAAAGGAAGAGTTCATGCCCAGCTGGGTCAATTATTCAGCTACACTCAGCATTCTCAGCAAAATTTGAGTTTCCTATTTTGAGCACCATATAAAGTAAATATAACAGAAAATAAGTTGCAAATGGCTTAATTCTTGTGGCCAGAGATTGGAAAACATTACATTTTCATCTGGCATTTATGAGCCTTGATTATGGTGAACAAAACCGTCCCATTAATTTTTCCTGAAAGTGTGGTTATACCGTTAACTTCAATCTCTCTTCACTCCATTCAATTTTCAACAAGGAAAAACGTTAAGAAATGTAGTTTGAACTGTGCGTAAAAAAGTGGTAAAATAGTGCTGGTGTACTCTGTTTAGCTTGCTTCAATTTAAAATGTATATCCCTTTTTTGTGCAAAATTATTTAATAAACCCCCAGAAATTCGATTGTATGAATTAATCAATTTTGAGTTGCTCAGCTTTTCTTTCCTGGGGACCGACCTCAGTGCAGAAATCTAATCCGTAAGTGATGTAAAGTTTTTCAATTGCTACAGCCCTTAGCATAAGTAGTTCTCCTACAACCTTTATAATATTTTTAAGCTAACGCTTGTTTTTTTGTTTTTGGGTAGTTTTGCCCCCTATGGAACGGTTGGAAAGGTGCTCCCCTTAGATGAAAACCACCCTCTTTACCATGAAGAGCCCCTGTATACATTCAAGGATCACAACGTACTGGTAGAAGGTGTTGAGCAGGCTAAATTACTTACCAAGACAGTTGAAGTGAAGGCAGGTTTGCCAGCAGAGATTGAGAACCGAATAGGAAAGACGCCTTCGCATCCAGACCAGCATACATTTGTCGAACGGTATGTCTGTTGCTTGATTAAAGTACATACTAAGGTCAATGATCTACTAAGGTCAAATGATCAAATGATGTACAGATCAAATGATCACAAAGTCCTTAACCACAGCAAGGCTTCATTGCAGTTGTATCTCTCGAACAGATTACGATAGATACCTGAAATTTTGTAAGCACTCTAAAGTCAAAGCAAACCACTTTTACGACCCCCCACCTCCCAAAATTTTGAAGGGATCTCCTTAAAAAGAGGCAAGAGCCCTAGATATTATAGGGGTGGTGCGGAACCCTCGGATCACCTTGTATGAGATTTCCACTTCAGAAAACTAAATTACATTGGCTTTTTGATCTTCTTCACAACCCTCCCTGAGTGGTATGAAAAAATTCATTCAACAAATTTTATGGTCTAGTGTTGTTCAGTTTGTTATCAAGAAAATAAAACAGAAGAAAATTTTACCAAGTGAAAGGTAGACATTTTTCCCTTTTTTTTTTTTTTTCTGGCCCACAATATGTTGAAATTTTGATAAAAATTTCTCACTGGTGGTAGTCAAATAGTAGAAGAGCAAGTATTAATCGGCAAGAAAAGGTTCTATTGATATCGCATGAAATATACACATGCTGATCCTTGTTGAAGATGTTCAAATCATCTATAATCAAATGGACTAGATTTGTAAGTAGGAACTACAAATTCTGGCTCATCCTTAAAAACGTTTAAGTCCATAGGAAAACTAATGGTACTCACGTTGTTTCTAAACTGAGCCAGAAATTGGAGTTAGCAAGTCCCAATTGCAAAATGTAGTCCTAATGGGCTGTATTAGTAGAAAAGAACCAGGTTTGCTGGATGTTTAAGTCGGTAAAAAAATATTTAAAATAGGAAAAGATATTGAAAGGTTTCATTTAGTTTATAATGCAATGTACAAAAAACAGTCACAAATCCATAAATGAGGAAGTAGGGGTTTTTTTTTATTTTTTCTTTTATTTATTGTAGTGGGCCTTGGTGCTTCAGAAAGAGAACGCAATATATGGACTGTTTAAGCTGCAAATCAATTGTAACTTTATTTATGTGAAAATAAGATTTGCTTCATTTCTGCTAAACGCAGTTATATAGACAAATTGTCCCACATAGAGGAGAAATAATTTAGAGAAAAGATTTAAAAATAACTAATAGTTTTACCAAAAAAAAGGCATCCAAGAGACTTGGAGTTTCCTAATCAGCCCTGAATTTGGACATTTTTGTGTTCTTTTGGATACATCTTTAATTTTTGCCAGCGATTTTTTTGACAGTTTTGTATATAAAATCTTCTAGTTTGACTACTATTAAATTGCAAATTCTGTGTTTTTTAGATGTCTCAATTTATTTTCTTTATCATGCTGTAGCATGATAAAGAAAGGCGTCTTCCTCAGGTCTCTATACTTCAATCAAAATGAGAGTGCAGACTTGGAGGAGTGAAGAATACGATTTCAGAACTAAAGTCAACAAAATTTCAAAATTCTAATTCAACAAAAAGTCAGATTTACAGAAAAAACCAAGAAGAGAAAAGAAAAAACTTCAAATTTTCCCATCAAAATGAAATGAAAAGGTTGAGATAACAGCTCTACCGTTTCACTGTAATTTTCAACTAACTCAACTAACTTCTTCCTTTTGGCAAGTTTTTCCTTTGATAATTCTGAACATGCTGAATTTTTCACAGCAATAACTACTTCAAGTATTGAAAACGATATCAGCTTTTGAGTCTGTGAATTATTTCGAAGTTTTAATTTCCTCCTTTCAAAATTAATTTTCCAGGTTGATTTTATCTTCCGTTGCATTTGATTTGAAGCAAGATAGATTACCAAGGCTGATTGATCCTAAGCGACCTGCTTACGTTTTTCCTCGTAGATATGGAGTTGGGGACAAGCGTAAAAAGTAAGTTCCTCTAAAAGCTTCATTATAATTGAATCGGCTCATGCAAAAACTGCTAATGTCCATTTTTTCCAATTTTGAGATTTTTGGGTTAAAATACTCTCAGAGGTCAGACACGCTCATTAATGTGGTGAAAATGTTTGTTCCTTAGGTTTGAAGCCTTTTTCAGAGGAGGCCGTGGTCTGAATCATGCACAAACAGCTAATGTCCATCTTTCGATATATGCCTCATAATACTATACAACAAACCAAAATAAAAAAATGTCTCCTGGACGACATTAGGTGATTTTTATGCATTTTGAGGCGCTGAATCCGAATATGACCTCCCTTTTTTTCCATCACCCTCCAATTTTCCGGAAAAGCCGATTTTACTCGGAAAAATGACAAGTTTTGGGCATTTTTGGTGTTTTTTCGACTGTTATCCCCTGCAGAATGTGGGTAAAATTTTTCGTATCTACGAGATTCAATTTTGCTGATGTCTTTTTAACTGATGAGTCCGGAAATGACCTTAGTTTTTCCTGTTTACCTCTCAGTTTTCCAAGAAAGCAACTTTTTCCAAAGTTAATTAAGTTAAAGTTAATATTTAATTAAGTCAAAGTTAATATTTCATTAAGTCAAAGTTAATATTTAATTAAGTTAAAGTTGATATTCAATTAAGTTAAATTATATATAATGGCCAAATGCCAAAGATGAAAAAACAATAAAAGTTGGTTATTTTATGTTATCTTGGTGAAAATGTTGGCAATCCCGGAAGATGATGAGAAACTTTTCAGCATCTTGCCTTATTTGTTGAAACAAAACTCAGATGTAGCAGAATAAAGCTCGGGACTAGTTTTATTCTGTTGTTATTAAAAATTGATTTTCAATTTTTAACTTTTTCCTTTTCTTCCATCCCTTACTCGCTTTCATTTTGGAACTTGATTTTTACATTCGTAAGAAGTTGCTCCTCAGGGGTCAGAGATTTCTTTGTTTTGGATACCTTATTTTTTATCGATTCAATTTTTTCCAGTCTCCTGATGTTCAATCGTCTCCTACAATTGACCGAAAATATTTTCGGTGGAGAAATTATGAATAACAGGCATCTCGTCCGTGATGCTGCGATCTCTGTTCCGATCAAAGCGGATGGCTTAAATATCCAATTTGAGATCACGGCTGAGATGTTATTGATGGCGGAATCTGCACTACCCAAGCTTGTTGATGTGCCAAGAGGTCTTGACTTACCTAACTTGTTTCCATTAAAGCCTCACATTTCACTTGAAGAATCTAATCACTACGAAATGACAGACAAATTCCGTAAGTTTTCTAAGCCCAAGACCATAACATTTAATAAAAAATTCTCTACGACCTTCACTATTTATTTAATATGCCATTATCAAATATCTAAAGCTAATTCAAAGCTAAAGAATTACAACTCAACTCTCATTCCAAATTGAGGCACGAGGGAGAAAGCATAGTAACCCTTTTGCTCCGAAAGTTAACACAGGTTTATACCAAAGAAAATGCTGGGTTTGGTAGTAGAGTCCAATGTAAGTAATTATTACCGCTGAGTCTGAAAATGACCATAATTCTTTCCCACCTTCAAACTGCTTTTTAATAGCTAGTGTAGTTTTCTCAAAACAGAGCTACTGCCAGTAGTTTTTGGACAGCGTAGGCATTTCCCAAAAAGGAACCGTGAAAGGAAAGCGCAAAAAGTATGTATTGTCAGAAATGGTAGTATATCATCATTGTATCTTGACAAGGCAGGTGCCTATTACTTACAAGGTGGAAAGAGGTTTATGTATTTATTATTTTCCAGAACTGCAAACTTTTCCTCAGTGTTTGTTACATTTTGTTTATTTAAAATTTTTTCCCCTCTCTCAGCATTGAAGCCCTCCGCTGGTAAACTGTTCATTCATACAGCCTTCCTGCATTTTAACGCTGACACAGAGGTGAAAAATCTGTATGATGAACCTGTCACTGATTCACAATTCTTGAGCAGGTCGCTGGTCAAGTCGTTTGCAATAGCAGCTGCCCAAGCTCGATATATTTATGGGGTAAGTTCTAACTCACCCTATTTTATGAGTAATGATCCACTCCTTTTTTCTATTTCAAACTGTGCCGAAGGGTGCTCTAGTATGGATTGAGTTTATCAGAAACGCGCCAAGACTCATCAAGATTAAGCCAACGAAAAGAGATTTGAAGTTTTTTCCCCATAAGTGTAAGGACTTTTCCAAATTCAAAAACTGTAGTTTATCTCTGCTTTGAATTTTCGTCAGGAGAAATTTTACAACTGCCTATTTTACTTTCAATTGATTTTTTCCCAAATCCGATTTGGAGCACCTGTCAAGCTTGGTCTGCATTATCTAATTACATATGTATGTATAATTTTTCTTCCTCTGAACAACTTTTCCCTTTTTATAAAAGAGCTGTCTTTAAATTTCATCATTTTCAGCAGAGCCAGCCCCCTCCTTCAATTCTCATCAGTTTTTGACTGCCTGTGGCCTGAAAATCTCTTTCCTCCGAAACAATACTCGATTTTTCATAATTTTGTACATCCCATTTCATTTGAACTGTTGCGTTGAATGCTGTTTAATCACCCCCTCCGTATATTGAATTGTGTTCAAAACAGTGTTCGAAACTCACCTTTGAGTTTCAGGAGCCGTGTGGAGCATCAAGTTTGACTTTTTGTCTAAATATCACGGCGCATTCAGTGAAAAGTTAGACGCAAGATGTTTTAGTTACAAAACCAGTTGAGGGAATTGTCAAAAAATCAATAAACAGAAAAATTAGGATTTTTAAAGGGGAGGGGGCAATTTTTAGGGGCCATGTTGGCGCAGAGCCTTCATGTTTCAGGCACCATGACCGAATTCTCAGGCGCCAATGCACCTGAGAGTTTCTAACACTGATTTAAAAGCCCTCTAAAACGTATAATAGTTGATCAAATGATTTCTTTACTCATTATACAAGTTTCATCGCCTCTTTTCAGAATGATGTGGAAGATCTACCAGAGCCGATTGTTATTCAATCCATCCATACAGACTCGGTCAATTTTCACTTCAATGTTTTCCAATTGAATACTTTGAATATCAACAGTGAGCATGATGTACGGAACGTCTGGTGGTCTGATCCTATGATTAAATTATACTCTCAGGGTGACTTCGTAGATTCGATTCCTGTCCTGGATGATTACAACCCAGAAGTTTTTGAAAAATTCCTCGCTTTTTATTCTAACGGTACGACTCAACAGTGATTGTAAATATTTGTGTTATTGTTAATTGTTCTAAGCACTTTTGTCAAATTTTCCACCTCCAAATAAAGTTATGATTTTTTGTAGCTAAGAGATGTTTTTCTTTACCCATCAAAAGTTTCCTTGTCACCACAAAAAAGTATAATCGAACAATCGATTTTTGGCGGATCACCAACTTTTATGTCACGCATTTTTAACTCTCCTATAGTTCTTTCTATCAATAGTTCATGATGAACAAGGGGAGGTGACAATGGATACGCTTATGAAGCTCTCACAAGTCTTATGTTTTCCATGGAAATCAATGTGTGAAACGTTATGCACACCCCACATGCTAGTTACCAGACTTTCAACTATTTAAGCAAATATTGATACGAATCACACAGTGGTTTCTGTTGAAAATTTGGGATTTTTGAAACCTTGTCTACAGACCAATTAGCAAAAACGCTGAAACTTGTTTCAGTAAGATATGACCTTTATATGTGATAAATATGGCTTTCATTTCAAACCAAAATAATTAAAATTGGAAGCAATTCCATTGCTTCCTCTCATTGTGAATTTTTGAATTTTTAGCTTCGTTTGAGGACACAAAAAAACATTGATTTCAAAGGAAAAAATACATAACTTATTTTATTGTTTAATTTTCAAAAAATTTACTTAACAACAATACAAAACTAATTTGAATTTACAGAAACATTCATATGTTGAATCATGTACATTTGAAGTTTAATCTTCGAACAAATAGATAAGAGAGAAGAGATAATAAAAAAAAAGAAGTTTCACTATGAGGAGAGTCGCTGTCATGAACTCAAAATTAAACTTTATGCGATTAATCTTCGTGCAAATTCTGAGTTTATTTATTAATGACTTTGCTGACTCAAATAACTTGAACTTAACTAAAACATCCACAATTTATTTACAGCAATTTAAGAAGAAATTGCCGACTTTCAGTCATACTTTTTTAAAAGATGTTAAACTGGAGATCTTAAATATTTGGAAAACTAAAGTTCTCCATTTTTGGTAATATCCAATTCATCGTTTAGAAAATAAAATTGTGGGACCAAAAAGTAACTATTTAATAGACCACGATGAACACTATTTTAAATAACTTCGCTCTGTTGATTCATGGGTGTGTAAATCTGGTAACCGAGAATAGAAAATAGGCTTAGTTTACATCTTTATTTGGTTAGAAAAAAGACTGCCCCCCTGAAGAAAAACGTGCTCTGAACATCTGAAAGTCCCCAAAATTTATTTAACAAAAGATTAAGTTTCAGAAAAATTGATGATGAGCTTTCTTGACTGTAATAGAAAATTTAATTCAGAATCTAAATTACACATATTACCTAAGACATTTAAGTTAAAGTATACATAAATTTTCTTGAAATAATACACATGGAACTTGTGAGGCCACTCAAGGGTTGGTGCGATGTCCTTCCGTAGCAGGGCAAAAAAAAAGAAATAAAAACGATTAACTGCCAGTTCTAGGTGTCAGATCACAGTTCTGTTATAATTAGAAAAATCTCAACCGTGGAGGAATTCACTTATGAGAAGAGCTGTTAGCTCATGAATACTACTTACATAAAATCTAGGAGACAGTGTCTTTGCAATAAAAAGCTTTCAGTATCAGCACTGTGTACTCGTAGAGTGAGAAAATGTCGGTTTTTACTTGAAAAGACAGGAAGAAGGTTCAGGAGGAGGCATCGATGCTGCAGGGGAAGCTGGTGTTGGAGACGGTGATGGACTATCATCGATGATGTCGATCGTTGGAATGACGTTGGGACTCTGATAGCCGCTACTAGTCACAGAGCTTGGCCCGGGAGTTGAAACACAGCTGCCTGAATCTAAAAAAAAAAGTCAGAATGTTAAGAGGTTTCTTTCAGAGGAATATAATAAATCCCGTTGGAATATAGACAACTCATAGCAAATAACTTAGTTTCTCTCCCAGCCGTCACAAAAAAAATTAAAAATCATTACCTGAGTAAAAACTCAGAATAAACTACAAAAAAAGGAAGGAGAAAGGGTAAACAGGGGTTGGGAAGGGGATAAAGAGGTATTTTTTCTTCCTTCTTTCTTTCTTTTTACTTCTTTCTTTTCTTTTTTTTTTCTATTCTTGTCCCGCCTTTCTTTCATTTTCAAATGGTTAGTTAACATTTATTTATCAATTAATAAGACCCCACCCGACACAAGGGAAAACCTTAGTGGGTGGTTTTATTATGTTACTTTTCTTTTGTTCGTACTTATTAAATAATCTTGTTAAACTGTAAAAAAAAAGGAGCATAATAAAGTTTTATTATTATTATTTCTTCTTTTTCTTTCCCAACAATGAATCTTGACTAAAAGGGAAAAAATATCGCGACGCCGAATAAATTTAGTAAAATACTGGCTACACTTTCAATTATCAGCAATAAGAAAATGTCTGAAATTTATTTTAGTAATATGTATAGAAATGGCTTAATGTCCATAAAAACAACCACAACAACCAACATCACAGCAATAAAATATCATCAAAACCGAACGAGTCACATCTTTGATTTTAACGATGTAGACTCGCTGTATCATGGAAGATGTATTTTTCATGATGAATGACGTATCATGAAAGAATGTAATTTCATGATGAATGACAGCAATGATAGAAATTTTGAAGCGAAACTTGGAGGTTCGTGTTTCTTGCACTGATTTCACTGGCTTTAGATACATCGCTCACTTTATTCTGTTCAGTGCGTAAGGCTGCTATGTAACCGAATACATCCGTTTTTCCAGAAGCAGAGTCAACAATGTAAAATTTGTCTGCTATTCTTCAGTCAACAATGGAAGATGTTTTCATCTTCCTGTTTCTTGTTTTGTTTCTTCTACATTACATTTTGTTTCATTCCAACATATCGTTCCATTTATATTGATTTAAGCAGAAGATTTTATTGTGCACACTGTTTTCCTCACACAAAACATAGTAGAAAAAAAAGCCTCTAAAGGTCACGTCTTTCTGGGCTAATTGATTTATCGTACATACATTTCAGCAGTGAACGTCTTACCTGATCCGATTCTAGCTGTTGAATTAGCTGCAGGCCAGGTTGATTTTTTGGAAGCATCCTCATCTTCAGAATCGCTAAATGTCAAGTCTATGACTTCGGCTTTCTTCTTTTCGGCTGCAGCAGCATCAGCTGCCGCTGAAGCACCGGCAGTTCCAGAGGCAGAAGCACTAGATGCAGCATCTTTTTCTTTCTTTTCCTCTACCATAGTAACTTCCTCCTTTGGAATAGGCACGATTTCTACGGATAAAAATAAATTGGTTAAACAGGACTCAATTGGGAGCTCCGTTCCAGCATCCGATAAGTCGAAAGGGGGGGGGGGCTTTAACAACATTACATACCATAATAAAATAAGAGCCTGAGAGAATGTACAACTAACAAGATAACCAAATTGAGTGTGACAATATCTCTGAAAAGAGAGGCTAATATCCTTAACGAACATTGAAATTTTGGGATGGTGAACAAGGCTATTACATTTAGATCCGTTATTCAATTGAAGCATAGGACAGCAGAGTCTTGATAAGTCTGATTATTTTCTCCAGTCCTGTCAATTGCCCTCTTAACATAACCAAATCAATTTTGAGATAAGTTGGAATTTCTGGTTTTTTCTCGGTTAAGAATTGCTCATATTTCGGTCCTGTCTTAAAGTTTTTGTGGAATTAAAAACTTTTTACCTGGCGAGAGGCATTAGAAATGACCATCTCATACTTCATCTTTATCTTCTACATTCTAAGTGTTACCATCCTTGTAATGTTTAAAATTTACAGATCATTGAGGTTTGCTGTACAACAAATTTTTTCTCAGGAAATGAACAATGAATTTCTTATTGTTTTTATAGACGGACCAAGGATACTTGAATACTTAAATAAATAAAAAAAAATATATGTACTTACCAATATCGTCTATGAGAGTTTCTACGATTGGTTCTACTCTAGCTTGCTGCAACAGAAAGGAATTGTAAAGGTCGTTATTCAGGAATAAAAAGAGAATAAATATGTAGATCTTCGATTTTCTGTACAAAACTAAGAGTTAATAGAGAAAGAAAGAGGTTTGTGATGTACTTTTGAGCACTTCTTGCATTATTTTTGATGTTGCTGTGACATGCTAATTTTACGCTGAAATGGAGCGATAGCTGATATGCAGTACTTTGTATTACATTTTTATAATCAGGTTGTCATGATCAGTAGTCTTGAAAACTTTTAAAATTAAAAGAATATTTTGCCACTTTGCAATTGCAAGACCTTCCAAGCTCTATTTGTGAGACATGTAATAAATGATGGAAAAACTCACAAAGCCAGATACCTGCGGAAAGAATTTTGTCATCTTTGTTAATTCTCTTCAGTCTTGATTGAAGTTTATATTCAACGAATATTTCCAGCATTTCGATTTTCATAGCTACAACAGTTAAAATTAAAAGCGATGCACTCCTGCCCTTAAAATTGTTCAACAAAGAATGTTAAGTGTATTCCAAGAAATGAAAATGCTAGTTGAAAATTGACAACTGGTCTAATTATACGGTGCTTGTAAAAAGAGAACTGAGAAATAATCTTTTCATCCCTATAAATTCTGATGAGGAAAAGATGGCATATGTTTTGGTAGCTTCATTTTCAGCAGGTTTTCTCAGCGCTGGTGGGCACATTCGCAAAAATTGTGCATTACTAAAAATAATGATATGAACTTACAGTGGTAGCTTTGTGCGTTGGTTCCTTTTTAGCTGTTGGGACTGACCAAGAGCCATCCGGTAACAACTGGATATCATTTGAGCTTCCGGGCATTCTGGGACTATTCAATACTTCTTGGAAATACCTGGACATAAAACACAGCATTAACTTAACGAGTCATAAGATCAAAGAAAAATATTCTCTTAAAATATTATTTCTTTCCCTTAGTCTCCGCGGTTGCTATGAAAAGATACTTTCTGAGGCCATAACCCATTTTTAACAGTCTTTCTAAAACATAATTTTTTCAGGAAATTTTTCGGTGAACATCACTTTTTAAACATCACTATGCAACAAAATATCAAGGCCAATTCTTACCCATCAATGACCAGATTATCGTAGAGACACGGTTTATCACACACAGGACAGATCCAAGTTGGCTTGCGCTCATTCATTTGAAGGAAGAGAAGAGCGTCGAAGCATTGGAGATGAGTACAAGTAGATGCGCGACAGGGGTGTGTCATACGCAGTTTTCCGAGGGGACACATCAGTGAAGCACGCAGCGAAGTCGTGGCGATTTCGCAGTCAGAATTCTCATTGAACTTTTCTTTGACTGTAAAGAAAAAAGAGCGAAGAACGGCACTTAATTTATGAGGAAATTATGAAAAACGAAAATTTATGAAATTGTATCACAGAAATAAAGTTGCGGCTTGGCATTAAATTCATCTATCAACGAGAAGTGTAGATATCATGTGCATAATTTTAAGCAAAGAGCAAAATGAGGAATTTCAAAATTTAATCCAAGGATTTACCCTAATAAAATATTAGCAAGGACGTTATGATTAATTTTTGCCTTTTCCAACAAAATCATTCAGTCCTCATCGAGTTTTAATAGTGTAAATTGAGCAAATAAAGAATCATTAGCAATAATTTCTTTGATTTTATTATTTGCTTCCCTCAGCATACAGTTAGTAATCATCAATGAACAATGTCACTTAATAAATTGACAAGAAAAACTTACTCAAACCCATCGTGTAATCTTGATGCCTGATTCCCTTCTGTTTTAGTCTTTGGAGGAGCTGATTAGAGTTCAACTTCCGTACCAAGTATACACCAATGACAAACCCTCTGCCGTATTCACTAGTCCAAGCTACGTTGATAATATTGGGAGTAACAGGACTAATTTTGATTAGAGGTGTAACATTGACTGGTTTTGGCAACCTTTTCTGTTCTTGTCCTTGTTTTGATGGAACTATGAAATTCTGAGAAAAAAATTAGAAAGTTGTTAAGAACTGCAGTCTCTGAGCACAAAATACAAAGATTAGTTATGACGAAGTGTAGTGATGAAGTAATCACATACAATTTATTTCATTTACTTTTTTAAAGCATTGACTGAATGAGGGCATGAGATGTTTCAGCGGTTTTTGACATGTTTATTTGTCTCTCTATTTTATAAAATATGTGTGGAAAGGAGAATTAAAGTAGCTCCACTGATTTTTTCAGATCATTGCAACCAGGCGACCTATCGTCTAGTTCACTCCAGGGTCATTTTTCAGATAATTCCTATTTATATTTTACTCTAGAAAAAGAAATTCAAATAAATGTAAAAATGGATGTGCTTTTGGAGCAAAATGCTTGAACAATATTGTGCACTTACCGGTAATTGGGCGGTTTTATTGTTGACTTTCACAAAAATATTTGATGGAAAACAGTCCATCTGTTCGCAAGAGGTTTCTAATAGACAAAACCTTACTTGCACCTGAAACATAAGGACATCACTGATGTAAATACGAATGAGATATTAAAACAACAAAATCAAGCACAGAATTAAGAGCGATATTCTTAGTTGCAGATCAGCAAGGCTGAAAATCTCAAGTATCTTAAGAATATATCATCGCATCAATGGGGTTTACATTACTTCTTCCTTTTCGGATTTTTTTGGCTTTCTCCGACCCTAAAAGTTCCAAAATTTCCTGACTTTCCTTCACCTTCCATCATGACATCCACTTGTATTTTTTCTCCCTAAGTAATTAAACAGACTAAAGCTGAACTATGGACGAAATCTCAACTTTTAGAGATTCAAATCTAGGAAAAAGGCACTCGGAAGTTGGCCATATTTTCTCAAAAGACACCAATTAAAGACGCGCTACTCACAAACTTCCCCGCCTTTCCCAGGTCACCGTAACTGCCCTGACTTTCCAGGTTTTCTTGACCACCAGAAATCCTGCATCAATCTCTTCCATTATCTGAGTTATTTTAAAATCAAGTTGAGCCTTTTATTGGATATTTGAAACTTGCAACGATTGACAGTTACATGCAGAAAGCTTGAAAGGGTGGTTCTTCGTAAGTCTCAGCCAGAAATACAACAGTGCAAAAACTAAAATTATGGATGAAATTATCTGAGTTATTTGTGTTTCAATAAAAGAAGAGTGGAGGTACCTGGACTGTGTACTCTGCTTTTTGGCCTTGAATGATTTCTCGATTGTAGGCTATCTCGTTTGCTTGGTACGGGGTCAGATAAAATTGAAAGCTCTGCTCTTGACTCCGCTGGTTACCATGTGCAGCTGGGGGAAAAAATGAAATTAGGTGATGTTTTTTTTAACAAACTATCACAATCAAATGCTTCTACACATTGCAGGGTGACAAAATTCCTTGAATTTAAAAATGTTCTACCTCTATGAGGGTTTTGAAAAGAAAAAAATATCAATTCTGACATTTCCCTGACTTTTCAAGCAATTATGGCATACAAGTGTATTTCATGAGAAAAAATTATTGCAAAATTCAAACTCTGTTGATAGCAGACATTAGTCCATCAAAAACATGAAAATTTTTCCTTTAAACAGGTCAAGAGAATTCCAATCTGATAGCAGAATGTCCTGACTTTTCTCAGTTAAAAGTAAAAGTCATCGCCGTGACCTGATATACCAATACCAACACTTGGCAACGCTTCTGTGGCTTCGTGTTCCTAGTCGCAAGTCCGAGCCTGGACAATGCAATGACTACTGCATACAGGCGGTGTTGTCGCATTCGCATTCGTATATAGCCACCAGATGATTCAACGTTTTTCATTCGCTCCTTGCTACTTTACGTACTGTGAAGCAGTTTTCTAAATGCTGTCACTATAATTGTTTTAAGATTATTAGTGTTCTTGAAAAAAAAAAAAAAAATCATCTCCCATTGCTCAGGGGAAGCACTAGCGTACATGCAGAAATCGCCACTGCAACATTTTTGGTTGAAGTTATCTTTGCTGACTTTTCAATTTTCCAATATTGCAACCTTTTTTTGTCATGAAAACCCGGTCAACAGTTTCAAAATTTAAAGGAAAACTATCGAATCTAAAAGTAATGAAAAAATTCAAGAGAAATGTGAGGTACATACTGAGACTTGAGGGTTTTATCAATTCTCCTAAAATATCATAGAAAGGCAGCCTCTTGAATTTCACATCAGGATGGACAGGATACTGATTCGGGTTGGGCGCTTGCTTTTGAGACATGTGCTGCGCATTTGCCTGTTGATATCCATACATTGGATACTGTTTCTGCATCTGAGTGTAACCACTGCTGCGGCCCATCTGTAGAAGAGATAAAGGCAGTGCGATACTTGAATGAAAGTGACATTGTAAACGATTTCTTTACTTTAAAATAAATGAATAAATTAATTATTACAGATTATTCGTTCATTGATTTATAGACTGTAACAGACACAGGTATGCAGAAATTTCTGAGCTTCCTCACTTCAAATACTCAAACTTCCTCACATATTTACTAGTAACCCTTGTCTTGGCTTTGAACACGTAAAGTGCCACAATTTTGCAAGAAATGTGTGTTTAACACTAAGATTTTGCAAGAGGTATGCAATTTTCACCGCTGTTTCATGAAAAAGCAATTTTTACTTTGATTCTGGAATTTGTGCCCTAAATTTTTCATTTTTAAAACCTATTTTCAGGGCGTTCCATTTTTCACACACAGCTGATCCGAACCAGCCAGCCACTTGGTCGAGAAGTTTCTGAAACCTTGTATTGACATTAGCTCAAATACAAGAGAGTAAAATAAAAGAAACAAAACAAACTCCCAATTGTTGAGAGCAATTCCTCAAAACAGGCAATTTTTGAGCTACACAAAGTAGAGTTTAAAATTGATTGACCAAAGCCTTTCAGAGAATTAATTGCTATTTTGTTGAAGCTTTTCAGATGTTTGCGACGGAGTTTTAAATTTGTGAGTACGGTTAGTTTCTCACCTGTTGCTGTTGGTAATCTGGATAGGTGGGTGGAGGGTTGTTGAGCATACCACTCCCCATCGACTGCTGTGGCTGACGCAGCGGCATGTTGTTGGAGTACGGTCCACTACCACTGGACGGAGGATCTGGGATGACAGTGCCGTTAGCAATCCCTTGCCTGAAAACGGTTCAAGATTATTCAAATATTCATTGAGATTGAGATTTCAGCTCTAAGAAACCAGGGACCATGACATGTATTATAGCAAATATTTAAAAATCATAACCGCATTTATTGTCACTCTGCCAACTCTCATTCCTCTCTGATTTAACTCTAATTCTGCAACATTTGCACTCCATATGGATGTATTCACGCTAAGAGGAACTATGCTGTACACAAACCCTATGCAAATAGTTCTTTTTAGCATAAATGCGTCCATATCTATCATGGGCACTGGCTGCTGAAAGCAGTGGGTGCAAAAAGGGTCAATCAAATTTGGAGAAAAGATGAAGGCTATATCTGTAGCTCAAGATGAAACGATCGTAACACACATTTTCGAAAGAGTTAAAAGAATGGCTTTCTTGACAAGCTTGGCAAAATTGAGAGCATTTATGACTAACAGGAAATGATAGAGTTGCTATCTCGTCTTTCACTTAGTCTCAATCATAGTTTTCCCTGTTATATTTTTTTTTTAAAAAAAAAAAACCAAAGAAAAGAACGGAGATGTGGCTACGGCCCTTTGGTTCTAGGCTACAGATATAATTGCAGGTTCTTTGTATGAACGACTTACGATGAGGAAAAGTCATCGGACGAATACAGTATTTTTTTGAGACAAAATTATCGCATCTTGCTGGAGCTCTGCTGATCTAGGGTTGCCATAATTTTTTCATCATTAAGTTCCCTGACTTTTTTTCTTTTCCCTGACTCCAAAATTATCTAATTTCCTGACTTTCCCTGACCTTAGGATAAAATTTCCATATATTTCTTTTTTTTTTAAAAAAAAAAGACCCTGACTTTCGCTAGACTTTGATAGGTAGATGTGTCAGAAATTCCCTGACTTTTCCCTTGAATTCTCTGACTCTTCCTGATCATCGCGAATTCCCTGACTTTCCCAGTTTCCCAGACCGCCGGCAACCCTGTGATCTTATTGTAGAGTTGAAGAACTGTGAGAGGAGAAAAAAGGCGGTCTTAACCTCGGCAGTGAAACGAACATGGGAACACGTGCTGAGGTCCTCCTCATTATCACAGCTTCTAGAGCTCCTGTCTGAGGTCAAAAAATCTAAAAAAAAAAGAAAATTACGCCATGAAAAGATTAAAAAGCAATGACAATCTGGACATTAAAAATGCCCTAACTATCAATGGTAGATGATCTCAGCTTCACCAGGTGAAGACAAGTGCCTAATTTTTGAATATTAAGTAGTACAGTAATGCCTCAATTATTCAATGAGTTATGGTGGAAACCTGCGCAAGCTACCAAAAACGCCAGATAATCTCAACTGCATAAAAAGACATAATACCACATGAAATACGTACGGAAGAAATGAAGAAAACAAAAACAAAAACCCAAGAAAAACAGGAAAAATAGAACATGAACATGTCTCATTGTCGTGCAAGATAAGTGATGAGTGGATAATCAAGGTATTACAGTACTTTCACACTGCTAAAAAATAAATACAGAAGTGGGTTAAAGCTACAGAAGAGGTTTTACAGAGATTTCATCTTTTGAAGTATTGTTAAAATTCTGCGCAAAACAAACGGTTCCTTCAGAGTACCGGTTTTATACAGTGTTCCAACTTCAGGGCTAAATATTAGGGGCCATCTTGGCTGGCAAGCTTAATTTTTGGAAGCCATCTAGGATTTTTTAGGAGCCAAAATGATATTTTGCAGAATTATTACCTATCATGGCGCATGGAATTTTTCAAGGAATGCAAACTGACAGTTGAAATGTATAGTGGGATTGTTGCAATGAAAATTTACAGCAGGCTGACTTGCGCCACAATGGATAACTAAACCTTGTGTTTTGTATATAATATTCTGAACGAATCAGGGGAGTAGATTGCATGGTAATTAATTGCATGTTTTTGGAGCTAAAATCCCGGACAATTTCCCTTTAAATAAGTTCGAAGACTGAAGGAATTTCAAACGCCCTCGAATGGCAAGAAAATAATATAAGTGGTGTACTACGGCAATCAAATCGCTATCTCCTCTCATTTCCACTGATGTTTGTTGGAATGACATATTTCGATGTGGAATTGTTGCTTGTTTATCACAGATATTATGAATGAGGTTAGATTCTTGGATTTTGAAGATACAGTTCAGACTTTCCTTTGTTTTCAAATAGGAAGAGTAGAAAGTTTGACCGAAGTCTTTGAAACCAGTGCTTGCTTCTGATTAGAACCGGATGACATCATTCAATTCAGTCCAAAACCGGGGCGTTTTAAATTTGTGGAAAAGTTGTGCTTTTAGAACTGCGCATTTCTCGATTTCTGAGTTACTTTTGAGCGTTTCTAATGTGAGCATCAGGTTCTACGCGTCACTTCACATTTGAAAAAATATATTCGCAAGTCAAAATTTGTTCATGGTTAAGTGATCCATTGACCAACCCTCCCAGTTTTACAGAGCCCGAGCCGCATTTTGCACATGACGCTCCCTGAAGTTACAACACTATCCAGTAAAAATTTGATACATTTTTAATGAAATATTCTTATGAAATAGCGGAAGGAAAGACTACTATTAATGTAAAGTGACCCATTCAATTCACACAAAAAATTGACATGATGATCTGGTCAGCATTCAGCAATCAGGGGCAAATTTTAAGGAGAAATACGGGGTTGAGTTGTTCCGAATGATTGGATGATTGGCACAGTAATTATTCTTATTCCAAATTCTGGTGGATTTTATACAGGAGTTCCATTTGCTTGATTTTCATCAAAAAATATTTAAAGGAAAAATCACAATTTCGTAATGGAGCTCAATTGAATGACAGAATGGAATCTGAGCTGGTTCTTCATCAGATGCTCAAGGTGAGTGAATTAAATCACGGGTAGCAACTCAGTGCATGATAAGTAAAATTGAAGAGGTGATGACTTTGGGAGAATCTAATGAGAAATTTTTTCAGAAAACGTAAACAGACCCCTTGTTTCACAAAAAAATTTGGTTCCCTGATGCTAAATGCAGCCAATCTAAACTTACTGGATTGACTTATATAGTTCACGGATCTTTAAGAGGACTGGTGTAGAGCGAGTTTTCAATAATTCAATAGCTCTGGCTTGCAATTCAGTTTTACGACCGGTTTTGTTTCCACCGGCATATCCTAATAGCATTTGCAATTCAGAAACTCGGAAGCTCATTAACATGCTCTGTAAAAACGAAGAAAAACCAATTAGTGACAAGACAAGAGCAAAGACGATTTTAAAAAAAATGCTACCTTGAAAAAATAGCAAAAATACGTGTATGGTAGTCATTGTTAACAGCGATTCCATTTTAAAGTATGCTCCCTATCTGGTAAATTGATGGCCTAAGTGCAAGACATTGTACCTCCAGTACACTTTTTTAAAGGAGAATAAGCCAATTTTTTAGCTTGAAATTTATGCAGAGTACTCTCCTAATACAGAGGAAAAATCGAAGAGTTTTCAAGAAATTACATTGATGGGTTTTCCAAAATAAAAATGAAGTGTGACAGGAAGTCTGTGTGGCAAATGGGAACATGTAATTTTGCCTTTTGGCTGTTGATATTTTGCCAGTCCTGGACTATTGCACATACACATGTTTTTTGATAAAGAAAACTTTCAAGAGGGAAAGAATATTTTTAATAGAATGGTGCTTGGTGTGTTTCCTTTCAGCTGTTCTTCTCAGGCTGACAGTTTATTACTCTATGGTTTCCAAATTTCAAGCCGGAGGGAAAAACTTTCTTGACTACAGGACCAGGCCATTCACATGAAACGGGGAAGTTCTCAAAGGTATAAGAAAAGATGAGGGAGGGCTACCACATATTTTGATATTTCTATTTTCACAAGTAGAGGCAGTGAAAAAAAACCAACTATCTAGGAGATAACGGTTTCTTTTTGTTTTCTTTTAAGTCTTTAGGAAGAACTGATGAGGAATTTTGGTTGAAAATGGGAGAGACAAACTGTGCTAGGAGAAAGGCTTGAAACTTCCTGAGCCTCTGATCCAAAGTTGGCATTCAAAAGGTACAGCGACAAATTCAGTTGTTGCCATTCCACAATTTGGAAAGAGGGACTGTGCTCTGAACTTACCCGAAGTTCATCATCTCCGGCCATTGCTTTACGGCGAGTCATCGGACCGTTTGTTTTGGTTCTGAAACATATCACCGGAGAATTTCATTACAACCAACACTAAAGAGACTTCCAAATATTACTGGGAGATAAAATAGTTTAATGAAAGAAACAAGTACTACAAAACAAAACAAAAAAATGTAAATGCTTGACAAATATTGCAATTCATGACGTAGGATTAAGAAAAATTCAACGGCATGCAAAACTAACCCCTCATCATCGCTTCGGACAATTCATGCAGAACAATAAAACAATGCAAAAAAAGATGAAACAGGGGCATTGACAATGAGACTTTTATAGAATATAGTTAGAAGTTTGATAAATTCAGTTTTATGGCTAGAGCAAGTAAGGCTACTTTGATTTGGGTGCTTTCGAAATGATGGTTTAGACTGGCACTAATAAAAAAAAATGGAAGTTCTCAAGGCTCAAAATTCTGAAACAAATTAAGGTAAATTAGTCACAGATTAATGCACCAAATTTGGATACTACATAAAATCTGTGTTGTAGCTTGATGACAAAAATTCTTTTAAAGAGACAGGCTAGAAGGGCAGCAGATTCTAAAATTTTAATTATTGCACTGAACGGCAAAGCCAACAGCAGAAGATGAGAGTGGAGGTAGAAGAACAGTTTTTGTCACAAACTTGGAATATCACCTTGAAAATTAAATACTGTTTCTAGACTCAGGTAATAATACAACAGATACTGGTTTGATTTTTCAAATTGTGGTCCATTTGTAAAATATTGATGATTTTAACAAATAAAAGTAAAGATTACTAACTTTTGTGCAGACATTTTTGCACAAGGTTGAAATATTTTACGTTGGCAAATCCTGCGATGCGTTTCAAATGAATTAGTTTTTAAAATCACCTTAAGTGAAGGCAACCAGTGCGATTACCTTCACTTAAGGTGCAATGATCTGAGGATGCATTGCGCAGAGTTCCAGTATTAAATTCGTCAATCTTATCCCCACATAAGAGAGGTTTATAAATGTCCTTCTTAAATTTCAATTAACTTGCCTTATTTTGAACCAAAATGGATCCATTTGGCAACTCAATACCAACTTCTCATACCCGACCACATTTTAAAGGGGACGGCAACCCTAAAATAAAAAATAAGATAGTATTAAAAATTGAAGCGGGAAGGTATAAGAATCAAAATGGCTCTGCCCCGAATGAAAAATTTGCTACATCGGCAGAGATATGAAGGGTTGCAGGTAAGTCTGACTGGTGACATCATGCGCTCACGGTGCGACTGCGGTTCACACGCACACAACTCGAAGTCTGGCCCGTTCGCTAAAAGTTCACACTTCACAGATTTGATTTGTGACAATTTTGGCAGTCACTGTCGGGAAATATTTCAGAGTAGCCATTAATAAAGCTCAAAACTTCAGCCCTCTACACCTTCTTCCAGATGTATGTTTGACGCGTTGCATCTCGTCTTTGATTCCAGGAAGAAATATGTTCCGTAACCCCATCCAAGATGCGATTCTGTTGTAAGAGTTACATTCATTCAGTTCACCTGGTCTAGAATTTCATTCCCTTCTAAGATTTACTTTCTCGAGGAAAAAAACACTTCTTTCAAGTTCTATCTTAGCTATGCCACCCACTCTTGGTAGACTCTCTGTAGGATCAGTGACTGTAACGGAGTATGAGAAGTTGGTACTTGTAAGCCAGGCAAAGACTGAACAACTAAGTTGGCTCCAAAAATACTAATCAATTACGGATGCAATAAAGGTAAACATTTGATAAGTGCACAAGAGTAGAGTGCTTATAGGAGAAAGGGATAATAGCAAGTACCTTGGATATCTCGGCATTGGTAAAGGAGTCTAGCTTTTCTGGCCGCATATCATTAGTCAGCTCAACTTAGACGAATTGATCACAGGGAGGATCTTGCGGTCTTGTCTTTACCAACTCCGTAATTGCAGATATTTCCCAAATAGAATCAGGGAAAAGTCAATTGCTCTGAAGAACAGAGCTTCCTCACTTTCTGTCGATGAGTACCACGTAAAGCCCTCAGTGATGAGCAACCTGTGACAGATCCGACTTACAGTAGGTACTCTAAAAAGACAGAAGAGAGAGGTATGAGAAGGATTCTAGCATACAATTTAGCAATAAAATGTAATAATGGAAAGATAAAGTGGAAGGAAAAAGAGTTCTCACCATACTTAACTTGGGCATGGAAGATCATAGAACAGTGACAGGAAGGAGCGCATGGTCCAAGAGCTGAACACTAAAAACAAATTTGCTAGCCTTGGACTCTGAAATACAAACAGGTACTAGGGAAGTTAAGTTTAGAGGTACCGCACCGAGATGGAAAATATTGCGTAAACGTGAAAATGCATGCAGAGAAGTGAAATTTACCTGACACTTTTTCATACCAAAATTTACACCGTTGAAGGGGTACTGTTTGAGGGGCTAGGTGTAAAAATTTGGTCAACTGAGAGCATCCAGATTTTCAGAGAACGAACCAAAGACGTCAAAAAATTTAAAAATTACATGCAGGAACAATTTTAATCGAAAAATAAAACAATTATTGTGATAAATACAGTGGCCGACACGGGAATCACCCTTTTTACTTTCTTCAAAAATTAACTGCAGTCCATTTTCAAATTCCGTGTTGGTTGTTTCTTTCGTGGAAGCGCTCGAAAATATACGGAATTTGGCAATGAACCAGCGAGCACCCGCGGTTTTTAAATCGACGTCCTTTTTTCCAACAAAAATATGGTTGATAGGATTTTGGGCCAATTCTATTCATTTGATCATTTTTATGGAGCTTCTTTAACTTTTACATAAGAATCTATTGTCAAATCGCAAATTCCTCATATATGCAACTAGAAGCGGATCCGGCAATTTGGCAACACCGGATCGCCTCCATTTATACCTAGGCTAAATAATCGATTCTTGTCGGAGCACCTGGCCCCTCCGGCAATCGATACATTTCCATAGGTTCAAATGAAGAAAAAACAGTGTTGCCAATTTGCTGGATCCGCCAATGCATGCAACATCTCCATTTGCGCCTTATTGTTCATGCTTAGGTACGCCCTGGAGTCAGGCCCACCACATCCCATCTCGGGCCCAGGTACCAGTTTTAAAGCCCGGGCCCCAAGCACGGGGGGAGGGGGGGGGGTCCTGGGGGCATCCCCCGAGAAATATTTGAATTTGTAAACTTAATTAATCGGACGCATTTTGAAGTTTCCATGACTAATTTTTCCATCAATTTCTGCGGAATAATTAAACTTTTTTTCATACTTTCAGCACAAAATACTTGCGAATTGTTGCATTCAAAACTTCTGGAAAATTTTTATTATGGGGGGGGACACATGATACTATTTACAATTCTAAGGGGGCAAGGCCCCCCTGGATTCCCCCTTCGTTTGTCTATGGCAAGGAAGTTGAGCCATGAGTCATTGAAGTCGAGGATGCCCAGACTGGAGACTCTTAGCATCTGAGGACGGAAGGAAGAAGTACGCAGTTACTAAAAATATCCTTCTGTGCTGAAAATCTTGAAAATAGACAGGGCCGGATTTACCTACTTGCCGCCCATGGGCCGCTAGTATTTTGCCGCCCCCTTCTCATTCGTTTTAAAACATCAATAAAAACCATAAAATGAACGTGCCAGCGAGGGAGGGGTGCATAAGACGCGTTTACCGGTGTTGAACACATTTTTTGCGAAAGCCCTGTCAACACTACTAGCGAAAGTTCACGGAACTTTGCGCGAAAGTTAAGTTTCGTAAACCTATCTCTGTGTGGACAAGGCCTTCCATTCATAGGAAATGAACGAAAAAATTATGAAAGAACAAACATAAATGTGGATTAATGATTATAACTTCCGCCGCCGCGCCTCGCAGACCGCACTGTGTTTGACGTAATGCGTGAAGTATTCACGCAGTCTTGTAGGCGCTATCCGTCTCACGCTGTCCGCAATGACCGCACTATGTTTGATGCAATGCGTGAAGTATTCGTGCAGTCTTGTAGGCGCTAATATGTGTTACATGCCGATCGCTGCGCCGAGGGCTTCTCCTTTTCATCTCAAGTCCTCGTCATCATTTCTCTCTAGGTAAGTCGCGCCGTTCCAGGCCAAATTGCGTGTTTGGTTTCTCTCTTAACTCGACTAATTAAAGGTGCTGCCTCTTATATCACTGAAAGACGATAAAAGTAGAAATTACTATACTCTCAGAAAATTAGAGATTTTGTCACCTTTTCTGGTTTATAATTTTTTTATACGTACATGTAAAAAAATTGCAAAATTTGCCACCCCCTATAGATTTGCCGCCATGGGCCGCGGCCCATGTGGCCACCCCCTTAATCCCCCTTAATAGGGCCCTGAAAATAGATAGACAATTTCCAAGATATATACTTCTTTGAAAATTTATGAAGAATTCTACAGTGCCCCAGCGTGTTTTTGAAAAATTCACCTTCTGCGAAATTTTTAGGATAAATTTTTCACTTTTTATTACGAAACAAGGGTTGCATGTGAATTCGTGGTGGTTTTTCACGGGCCCCGGTACAAGGGACCCAGTGCCCCCCCCCCCCCCCCTTATGGCGGGCCTGCCTGGAGTTTTTGTTTCCAATTTTATTTTTGTCTCCCTCCTTCTTGGAACTCGGAATTTGCCGCCGGTGGAAGCTGCCCTTTATGCGCCATATGGAAATCTGGGTCTCATAAATATCAGCCGTACTTTTCGGTTCCCGTAATGGGATTATCAATGTTGGTAATCGTATTCTCGTCTCATGCAACCGAGCTCATTCTGCAGTCCGGTTTATGATACCGTACTATTTTTATAGTTCAGTTCGGGTGGAAAGTTCGGTTACATGAGCCGGAAAAGGGTCTCATAAGCCCAGAAGCCCAGAAGCACGGTTACTAGAAGCGACCCTGGGAAAAGTGAGTCAGCCTGACGCGAGGCTATGTTTCATAAACTACCTTGAGTCAGACTGATTCAGGCTGATGCCAGACTGATGTCAGCCTGAATCAGTTAGACTCAGGGTAGTTTATGAGACATAGCCTGACGTCAGACTGACTCACTCTTACTAGGGGAATAGTCAGGCCAATTAAGATACGATGCAAAACAGTACTCCCTCAAAAATTTAAAATTTTAAATTAACATTCAAGTTGTAAGAAAACAAAAATGTGGACGACCTCAAAGTTTGTCTCGACTGCTCCTGCAGTTAACTTGAAATCTTGGAGACGTTAATCCAAGGAGTGGTAGAGTGCAACGAAATTATTGAAATACTTTTGCAATTTAATGCAATGAAATTGCGACATTTTTACATTGATTTTTGAGGATCAATAAACTGTGCTTTACTTGTGAAAAAGGTAGGCAAACTGCTTCGCGATCTAATTCCCCTCGCGCCTCAGGCGTTGCGAGTTACTCTCATGATTTCACATCATAGAGTATGATGAGGGGAGCGCCTGCAATATGTGGATAGACAACATGCACAACACTCAAATACAATATCAATTATTTTACCATTTGATCGCAATTTATTGCCACCTGTGCTATTAAGAGGGGCGGTTGAGACAAACGTTGTGATGTCGTCGCAAATATTTTGACAATCAAGATTCATGAGGTCTTGTCTACAAGAGTGCAGTCCGTAGAACCTCGGTTGATGTTTGGACGGGCAAGGTTGCCAGATTTGTATTAAATGAAGGATTTTTACATAGGTTCTAAAAGGGAAATGTGCCGATTTTTCAGCACCGTCCAGCATAAATGGGGACGGGTGAGTTAAATGGGGAATGGACCCCTGGAATAGGACTACCGTGGTTTTGAAATCCCTCAGCCCTCCTTGGGATTCTAGGGTCCATCCTTTATTTAATCCCCGGTTTCAGACATCAAACCGAGCAAAAGCCTGGCGCAGATGGTCTATTCTATGGCATTTGCTTGTAATTTATTGCGAAATTAGTTTCGAGAAACACGAAAATGCCACGAATTTTTGTCTAAGATCGGCTCTCCAACTTAGGAAAAGACAATCTAAGGATTAGATCACAATGGTGACTTAGTTCAGTACTATAAAAGAGAGTTCACCTCCAAACAGATAATCTTATGTATATACCGGTACTCACTTTGTTTTCCATTGAGCGTTGCGGCACTCCAAAATGAAGGATACAACTATTTTAACTTCCGAGTGGCTAATATTGCATATCGATCGAATTGAAGGTTAATCGTATTTCTCGCCCTTAGCGCTCTGCGACACCTAGCCGCCAAAGTCCCCTATCCTCCCAAAGCCCTTCAAGGCGTTGACACATCCTCCTTTCCTCTGAAACTTGCCGCTACCCTTTCACTGAGCGTCCTCCTCGTCTCCTCCCAGGAGGAACCTAATCAAGCACCTTCTTTGGCAGCCTTCCTTCCATCATCCTATTGACATGACCATATCAGACAAGCTGTTTGGTTATGCGGTCGAACTAGATGTCATTTTTGACGGGTCTGACGCACTCCTTCATTGCGGACCCGATCTCCTCTAGGAAGGAGGGGTTGCGATCTGGGCCGAAATCGGCCCCTCCACGGAATTGAGAAATTTTTGGATATATGGCAGTTGACGGTGCATATTTGACAGAAATAAGCGGGTTTTGCCGTTACTCACGGTTTTTGGCTGCGAAGAAGGGGCCTAAACATGGCGCCGGAGCCGAAAATAGCTTAAATTTCGCGTTTTTCGAGGTTCTACCTCAGATTTTGACCTGGTTCCAAAGATGACGGGTGATGAGCTTCGAATACATACATACGAGTCGCTGTTATAGCGCTCTTTGGCGCTTTGCGACACCTAATCGCCACAAAGCTCGGTCTTCCCACAGGTTATCAGGGAGTTGACACTCCCTCATCTCACTTAACACCCCCTGTCGCCAACCTCTCACTGGGCGTCCCCTACGCCTCCTCCCAGGAGGAACCCAATCAAGCATCTTTTTTGGCAGCCTCTCTTCCGTCATCCTATTGACATGACCATACCAAACAAGTTGTTTGGTCATGACGTCGAACACGATGTCATTTTCGACTTCCATTATCTGACGCACTCTATCATTACGGACCCGATCTCTCCTAGAAATTCCTGCCGACCTTCTCCAGAAATCCATCTCCGTTGCTCTTAGCATATCCTGTGTCCGTTTCTTCAGCTGCCAAACTTCACATCCGTATGTTAATATACTTTTTACTACAGCGTTGTATATCCTCCTCTTGTTATCTTTGGAAATCCGCTGATCCCAGAGGATTCCATTTAACATCGCTATAGCCTTCCTTGCTAAGGTGTTCCTTTCCCTGATAGCTTGATCCGTCCTTCCATCCTGGGTCAACCGCACTCCCAAGTACTTGAAGTGCTCGCAGCATTTGATCTGCTGCCCATCCTCCAACTCAATGCTTTGCTGATCACCACCAAAAGTCATCTTCTCAGATTTGGATATGCTGACTTCCAAACCCCACTTCCGATATTCTTCTACTAACTTGCGCATCATGTACTCCGCGTCTTCTTGATCTTGAGCAACCACCACCTGGTCATCAGCAAAGCATGAGCTTCGTAAGAGCTTCGAATATGGTGTCAAAAACACCTAGATACGTAACATACTTGAATATGATCGACCGTCGCCTTTGGGCCCAACTTCAAAATCGAACTTTTCCAACTT